GTGAGTCCTTATTTATGTTATTATTAGCAGCCATGATTAATTTATTATCTAGACGTTCTATGTAAGCACATGTTCTACTTTCAAGCAAGAGTAGAGCAATCAGTTCTATTTCATCACCTTTCATCTTTCAGTTCTTACTACGATGCTAGAGTTAAGACAAGTCGTACCGACACGGCGGCGATTCACGAATCAATGTGTCCAGCTGGGTACCCTGAAAACACATACCCCGCTTGTACCCCAGGCACAAGTAGGACCAACCCATCACCCTCCTGTCCTAGGGTCCAAGTCCCCGTTCAAACAAACTTTGACTCCAAGCCCCCGCTCCTAAGTCCTGGACTTAGTGCGGTGCAAGGACCTCCACCATCCGCGCCTCCAATCAGTCAGTCCAGAAAGAGCCAGAACCCACGACAAGAGAGCAACAAGTCTTCTCTGCACCCATACCCAAGTATATGCTCGGGATAATAAATCTGTGACTTGCCTAGCGTCCATTGCAACGGCCGGTCTTTAACCGACACAGACAGAGAAAAAGTGTAACCAAGCTATGCCCTGTTGACCGCAGGACACAACCTCTTACACCCACCAGTATCCAAACCATATCCCTATCCGGTCACCATTTTTTCTTTCCACCATTTTATCATGAGTGATCATAATTATCCCCTATTATGAGTAACGGCAGGTTACTCACGCTACCGAAATTCTGAGCATAGCAGCTACTCGACCTATACTAGTAGGACTCATAGGTAGATATATTTATGCATGTAGTTTTCATAAAATGCCTGTAACGTAAATGCACATCATATATATATTCAGTAATCATTCAAAAATAGAGGTTATGCAGCGGGGCTTGCCTTGGGCAGGCAGTGGGTCAACAAAGTCAGGACCGAACGGCTCTGGGGCTCCCTCCTACATGAGGATCTCCTCGTACTCCTCAATAACCTCCTCGTAATCCTGTTCGTCCGTAGGCACGAACTCTACCAACTCGTGATATATATGCATGAAACAATGATGCAACATTTAGTAATACGGCAACAGCAACTCTTAAAATAAAATACATCTATCAAGCTTCTAAGCTAGTTCTACCGACTAAGGTGCTAAGTTACCTATTGTTACCACTAACAAGTATAAAAGCATGACATTATCATCTTAGCAACTAAGGGTATTCTTACTCTTAATATCGATTTACTCTATATATGATAAAACGAGGATACTAGCTACTCTATTTATCAACCTACCCTGGGGCTACAAAAATTACGATGAGTACATAATAATCTAGTGATCCTACTGTAAAAATTTTATGGCTAAAGCTATCATCAATTTGCCACAAAAATTCCTACAAACATTAAGCTAAATAATACTAAGCTTTCTAAATTGAATTTATGAACCTATCATTATCATAGCTAACTGTAAAGTAACTACACCAACAGATAAATATCATTTTTGTGAACCTAACAAATTTTGTTTCACTATTTTTGAACATCTATAAGATTTACTACAATTTATCAAAGTTCGGCACAAAACTAAATTGAATAAGCCTTTACTAATTCACTGGAATTTGATAAACTAAAATGTATCGCGTGGCCATGCATGAGTGGCTCGGCCCAACCAACTAGCATAGCAGCAGCTGCAAGACGCGACGCATGGCGTGGCGTGGCCCATCCATGTTGAATGTATGACGCGCTGACGATGGCCCACGCAGAACGGGAGGCCAGCAGGCTTGGCTATTTTGCGAAAACGACCTGACCTATCAATTTAATCGCTCGAAGACCCACGGCACTATTCCTACAGTCAGCTACTTCGCAGATAAGCCCTCGAAACAACCTGTCTTCGCAATGACGAAACCCTCGGGCACCACACGTAGCGCAAGCGCCGCGGCGCGGCTACCGGCAGCGAGCCGGCCAGACCAGCCCTCCCCCCCAATATCAATATCGATCCGATGCTCACCTAGGCGTAAACTCGAAGCGTTGGATGGCGAAGCAGCGAACTAAGATGCTGTCCCGAGTTCCCTCTATGGCGGCGGACTCCTTCCTGTGACGGCGGCCATGTTCTCGTGAGCCAAGGCACATACAACATGAACGAGCTCAAGAATGGGCATTAGAGACTCACCCTGAACCTACTAGACGTGGTGGACTGACCGGAGACGGGCCGAGTGAGTCCGGCCACACGCGCACGGCAAACACGGCGACACTGGTCAGGCAATAGCCGGGCAAATTGGGGTGCGCACGGGATAGAAGGGAATAGGGCAAAGACACAGTGCCAACTAATTGGACGGAGGTGGATAGGGTAAGGTGAGTTAGACAGGCGCTATCGCGGGGTCTTAAGATGGTCGACGGCGAAGGAATTGTCAAATTGGGGCTCGACACCGGTTGGCAGCAGCAGTGGGAGGGTTTGGCGCGTAGCTAGGTTCCTACTCAGCCCTTTGGCGCACGCAATTGTCTGGATTTGACCGGTGCTACGAGCTGGACTTGGCACGGCTCGACGGCTTCGGCGCGACGCCATTAAAGGCAAAGGTGACTGAGGGCGCAGAGTGATGCTCGCCACGCAAACGCAACGGACAAGGGCACACACAGGGAAGATACACGTGCTCGAACAAGTTGGCACGGCTCGGGCGCCCGCAGCGCATTAACTTGCAACACAACGGCGACACGGCCATGTCTTGCGGCGCAGCTTCGCGACGCGAGCGAAAGCGCAACGCAAAGCGGGCGATCCAAAGAATCACGATCATGACTAGCAGAAGCGCGGTGACGCAACGCAACGCAGCAACAGTAACGACAACGGCGGGCGGCGGCAAGCAGAAGGGCGACGGATGGCGGCGCGGCGTCGATGCAAAGTGCGCGACATCAACGGTGAGCGCGTGACGCGGCGCTCAATGCCGCGATCGAGGCTAGCGACGCCACGAGGACACCTTGCGGGGCGCGAGCAAGCCGGACCGACCGGAACATAGGACCCGCGACGACAGTGGCGGTGGCGAGCGGCAACCAACGTGCGTGTGGCGTGCGCGCGTGCGTGACACGCGGGCTGGGCGCGGCAACGACGGTCGATGATGGCAATGACGCGGCGATGGCGCGCGCAGGCAATAACGCGGTAACGCGCGTGCAAGGCTTATGCGTGTTAGGCGTGTAGCGCGCGGCGACGTCGAGTGTCGGCGCGATGATCGCGCCAAAGCCGCATGCCGATGATGTCATGCACGCTTTTAAAAAGCGCTAAAAATCCAACTTGATGATCCAGTTGCTAAACTACCTATTTTACACTCGAGATGGCATATCAAGCTACTAAAACCGAGCATGAAATTACACTACTTCTTAATCCAATTCACCTACAAAATTTCCCAAACTTAGCCTCGTCGAACCATCTTCCGACTTAAGAAAATTGACTAAGTTTCAAACGGTTTCGCGTCGAATGCGATTTTCAAGCTATTAAGTAAGCTAGCAAGTGAATCCGCTCTCGAGCTATTTCAGTCAGCCTATGAATCTTACCCGTTCAATCCCGAAACTTGGTTGAAATCCAAAAACACCGTTTCAAATCACTGCTTTTGACCGAAAAAAGAAGAACAAGCTTAATAATATGGGGTAAGCCAAACGAGGCAATACTACAAACATTATTAAAGTTCCATATATGCATTCTATAATATTTTCGTTCAATAAAAATTCATCTAGAACCCTAAGTGGCACAACGCGACATGAAATATAACATTCTTTTTGCGTTTTCGATGAACGTTTCAAGTTACGTATATTGTTTTACACACTATATTACACATATTTACACATAAATATGATGTCCATGCAGTGTTTTAGCAAAAGGTTGTACAGTGTAACACCGATGGTATTACAGTGATGTACTAAGACGTCTAGTGCTCCTTGCTAGTAATCAAGTAAAATAAAGGTGAGTTATATTCCTTAGGCCTACATCTCCCGTCAAAGGTTTTTTTTCATTCAATTAGAGTTTCCTTTAACTGTTTAGAAGTTATCTTCAATCTCAAGTATTTCTCTCACGAAATATAAATAAATGTGCATGCTCTCCTTCATACCTTTCACGACTTGCTTCCTTATTGTACCATCTAATCGTCTCGAGTGGCACTAGATCTATGCCTTGATCTTGTAGCGCTAACTACTATGGCAAACCAAGCTCCTCCGCTCTTAGGTGGCCTGGCATTCATCCTCCACTGCCTCAATCTTAATGGTGCCATTGTTGCCACACCGTTTCACCCATTGTCTGCCTCCAACGACATCTTCTAAGTCCGAAAGCCAAGGAAAGTCCACCGAAGACGCTAAAACCCTGATGCTCAAGAAAATTCTAAGAGCGAGGTCAATAATAGAGCTAGGTGCTTGGTATAAGTCAGGTCATAAGAGCTAAGTTATACAATAGTTAGTCTTTTATTTATCTATAATTTTTTTATTATTATATGTTTTCATTCTCTTTCATATTTCTCCTTACATATATCTCTATTCGGACCCACTGCTACCTATGATTCTATGTTTAGCTTGTTGCTCTGTGTTTAGCTTGTCACTTGCATGAGAGCCAAGTTGTCTTATCTCATCCATATCAGTAAAAAAAATTGTAGACATATATAAACAGATTCTTCACTTGTTTTCTTTAATAAGAGAGCACACACATAAGTCATTCATATTGCTCAAAACCACTTTTAACGTAGCTAAGCAACATTCCACTTAACCACGAGCAAAAAAGAGTAGCACAAGTACCGTGTAATTAGCCTATTACGCTTATACTTGGTTGTCGAAACGATCGTAATTTTCTAGCCAAAAAAAAAGCACCTCTCACATTCAACCAATGAAAACGAACCCCAATTTTATAATATTTACGCTATTGCACCATTCACTGAATTTTTTTTATAGTTTTATGTATTCCTTTCAGGTTCAGTGACGAGAGATCACTGCTTACTGCAACATGGGTATACTACAAGTACAACACATCCACAAAATACATGTACAAATGAGTACGGCACCGTACTAGACTGTAGCCACCCTATGACCCTACACTGCTCGCTACACTCCACCAAAAAACCTTCCCCAGCATGACCCGGCCCTCCTCACTACATCCTCCACCGCCGCCGCTGGCGGCGGCACCGGAACAGGCGCCTCTCCGATTCCCCAGATCCCTTCCAGAACCTGCTCCAGGCTCGCCGGTACCCCGCACGTCTGCGCTTCGGGTGCCGGTGCCGCGATAACGGCGTCGAACACCTCCTGCAGGCCGACCACGCGGCGGCTCACGGCGCGCCGCGCGTCCCGCACGGCGGGGTAGTGCCCCGGCACGGCATCTAGGCGGAGCAGCACGGCCATCAGCGCCTCCGAGAACCGGGCCCGCTCGCGCTCGTCGCGGCGGACGGCGTCCACGGTCTCCTGCCGCCGGAGCAGCCGCTCGAGCCGCGTCGCCTCGGCGTCGGCCGCGCGCACGGTCGCGACGTGCCGCCTGACCAGGTACCCACGCAAGGCCGCCTGGATCTTGGCGGCCGCCACCGCGTCAGGCGATCCCTCCCGAGCCCCCTCCGGAGGCGGAGGGGATGTGATGGGGATTTGGACGGTGGTCTTGGGCTTGTGGCTGGGCTTGGGGTTGGAATCGACGGCCGCGAAGACGAATTGCGAGGTGGAGGCGTAGTGGTAGGATCCCATTGGGGACCTTGGAGCGAGCGCAGCTTTGGGTGAGTGGAGCGAGGAGAGAGTGCAATTCAGCAGCTGTGTTTGGCCGTGGCTGATTATCTGGAATCGTCGAGCGCACAGGCACGGCGTCGTGCGCAGCGAACTCGTGGTCACGGCGCCGTGGCTGTTCCTTTGCCTGAGGTAGTCAGGTCTGGATGTGCTTTCTGCACTTGCATCTTTCTTTCTTTCGGTGGCTGTAACGTTCGTCATTGCTCGGCGTACACCACTGCCGGCTACAGGGCTGCTTTTCAATGGTTCTCTCGTCCACTGACGTGTTCGGCTGGCTGGCTGGCTGCCTAGCCACCTCACAAAATCATTATTCACGTGTGTGATTTTTCTCTGGATAATCACCAAATAAGATTTTTCATGAGACTCCGTCTTATTTTGCTGAAAACGAAGCTTCAGAAGCAATATACATTTTCGGCAACAGATATACTGATCACTTAAAGATGAGGGTTTCATGTTCAGTGCAATTGCGCAAAGACTGCAATTTGATACTTTTCTTCATCTTCCCCTAAGAACGTACTCGCAGCACTAGTGAGTAGGCAGTGGCAACTAGCGAGTGTGCATAGCCGAGCTATGGGCAGAGTGCTGCCGACACAATCAACAGCTCGACCCACAAAGAGAGGGCTCTCCGGAGTCCGGAGACCGGAACTATCCGGAAACGTGATCAAAAGCGCACACCACCTGACCACCCCCGCAGCGGAATCAACCGCGTACCCGGCCGTCCGGCCCCACACCCTCGCCCCGGCCCGGCCCGAGCGATGTGCGCAGAGCCGTCGGCCATGTCAAAACACTAGTCCGACAAGGCTGGCATCCTTGCCGAGCGGGCTCGCGCGCCTGCGTGGCCTCGCCATCGGCCATCGCCTCCCGCCCTACCAGCGCCGCGGAAGCATTAGCATGGCCACATGAAAAAAAAATGGGTTTGGGTATATGCTAGTCATCCGTTTTAAATGTCTCCCTTCACTAAATCCTGTCATGTGTTACACTTACACGTAGCAATGTTGATAGCAGTGCATCCTTTGCTGTTCAAGTTTCTGGTCAAAGGCAAGGTCAACCTGCACCGGCCGGTCACCGCCAAATTCCAATCCCTCCTCCTCTCGGGCGCGATGCAAGCCGCGTTATGTTGGGGCTTGTAGGCAAGATCCTGAACAGGGGGGCGCACGGCACACTCCACCAAGCAACAAAAAAAACAGGCACCCATGCACGCGCGAATGCGATCGCATTGCGCAGCCAGCGACAACTCCATGAAACGGCCAAGCGCCGATCACGAGAGCCATTGGAAACCACCCCTCGAGGCGTCTCATCAAGCACTTGTTTTCTCATATACACACCAGTATTTGTAAACCCGGACGTCAATCGAGCGTTGGCATCTAGCGGTAAGCTTCCGCATGCGACACACGAGACGGAACTTGCCAAATGCTCCCAGCACCACGCCCGAAAACCAGGCGCTAGGACGCGACGCGACGCGGGGACCGGCCGGCCCACGCGTCAGCCGAGGCTCAGCAGTCGGCAGAACTGCATGCTCCCAGCGGCCAGCGCAGCCGCAAGCGGCTGCCGCCGCTCGTCGGCGCGGCGCAGCTCCGTGTCCTCTCCTCGCTTTGGCGGGCACAGTGGAGCGGGCAGGCACAGGCACCGGTCCTGCGCTGTCTGCGCGAGCGGCGCCAGCGGGCCGACCACGATTTATGGGAGAATTCAGACAGCGACGATTGCATGCGCGGGTCGTGCGCGGAGGTTTTTTTGGTGGGATGCAGCCGGATCGCGATTAAACAAACGGGCAAGTGCTGTCCCCTCCCCGCCCCGGGCCGTCGTCTCAGTGCTCCGCAGGCGTGCAGTGACCACAGTGAGCCAGCAAGTGAGACAGTGACCATGAGAGCGATGCTCGTGCAACAAGTGTACTGTGCCCGGCGTTGACGTTTCGGCTGGGCATTCTCTCTCAGGTTCGCCGTTCACACAGGGCATAGGTCACCCATACGGCCGTAGGCTTACAGAAGAACAGGGCAAAAGGCGAGAGGATGACGCTACCTTCTTGTAGGTCAAATGTGAACAAGCAATAACCAATAGGAGTGATGGAAGAACGTCACAATAGTGCCAATGTACTAGCTAGCAGCTTGCCAAGACAGTCGCTCAGGTGAAGATTTTCTTTACTGCGAAGGCAAAATTCGAAAGTAAACGAAGTACAGCAGCTCCAATATGGATTTGATATGTTACATTAACATAGAAAAATATGCATGTCTGCAGATTTTGCTGTAGTGCTGAGATAAGTCATGAATCGTTATGAGAGACAAAAACTAAAAATTTATCCCAGCCACCATGCTAGAGACCAAGATCCAAGAATGAGCTGTTTTTGGTCTTCATAGGCGCAAGCACAGTGATGAACAGAAGTTATTATGCGCCATACCAAGCATGCAAATAGAAAGGCACAGGAGTTACTGAGGTACTGTATGTATACCATCGTGGTTTCGACGTGAAATCGCAAGAAGGAAAGTAAACTTAAACACATCGAGAAAAATCGTCACAGCTCACAAGGATACTCTCATTCTGATTCAGAGCGAGTGTTTTTACCCAGGCAAACACACACAGATCAACCCAGGCATAAATAAACGTACACACCATCATCTGAAAAACGCGAGATTATCCACAGCCCTCTGCAGCTGGGAGTAATGCAGTACTAAGGAAATGATTGCAGGCGAGGGAGCAAAAACTAAGCAAGAGCAAGAAAATGGTTGCTTGCTACAACTGGGAGTAAGTAATGTACGAACGAAATCGAATGCCTGGCCTGCCCTTGTATGCCGCGACGACGCCGATACGTGTAGGCCGGTTACCGCCGCAGCATTGCGACGCCGCTGTTCCCCTCCTCCATTCTTCGTCGTTGGAAAGATGGGGCTGGCAATGGCGGAGATGGCGAAGGGACCGTAGCTTCCGGCTTGACCTGCATCCTGCCTCGGTGCCGAGGCCTTGCGACGAGGGTCGAGGGAGAGGTGCGCAGCGGATAAAGGAGGGGGAGTCGGAGAGAGGGGACGATATGATACAGCTTAGTAGCAGTAGAGGAGCAGCAAGCTATGTACTGAGTAATGGCAGGGAACTACCTCTTTAAAAAGCCTGCCTGTTAGGGGCTTAGCCCTGTAAAGTATTTATGCATTCTATGCTAAACGACTTAAGTCATCTCGTCATCGTGTTTCCCCCGCATATATATAATATATAAAAATAAAAACTGACATAATGACGCATGGAAATGGTGAGTGTACACTGCACAGTGCTTCTCACATGGGAAACTTTGGTCACCCCAGGCGAAAGAAGCGTGAACGATGCCAGTAGCAGTTTGCTCATTTTGGCTCCAGTAATGATAGCCTGTTCATTTGGCTGTGGCTTATCGTAAATGATCGTAATTTTCCTGTTTGGATCAATAAAATACGTAGAAAATATTTTAGGAGGGACTAAACAACACGTCAACGAAATTTGAGCACTGTTTGGATCCACTTCTCTGAAATTTGAGCTCTAAAAGTTTTGAACTCAGAGGTCGGCTAAAATTTAGAGCTAAATTTAAAACACTTATTTGAAGCTTTAGCTCTAAACTTTAGTGGAGGAAATCAAACAGGTCCTAAAACGGAGATTGGATGGGATTTGGAATGCCGTCAGGTAAAGCAATCGAACCAAATCGAAACCTCATGATGAACAAATTCCATGCAAAGAACGAAAATAAACAGAAACTTCGGGACAAGGGAAAACCTTTTTAAGTATATATGTTATGTACAGACACGGTTCAGAGCAGCAACAGCATTACAAGCGATGACTAGTCCAATAAACATATGAACGAATTGACCGACAAGATACAGAAGAGGTAAAATTTGCATGGGTCTGTGCCAGCAATACAGAAAATACCCAGCCAGCGACATTACTATTATCTTTTTTTCCCCTATAGTATAAGCGGATTTAATGAACAAACGGCATCTATATCTATCTGCAATTGTTGTATCTATCAAGCTACCATACTCAGGAAGCAGAAGTATTAAAAACCCACTTCTGGTAGCGACGACTTTGAGCACCATGAAAGCACTATTTCCTGTATATAAAAAACAGCACTGTGTAGCAAAAAAGAACTGGGTCTGCATCAGGACCCTGCCACACCATTTCCGTTTTCAGCAGATGGGGCGTTTGAAGTAGCATCATCCATTGTCAAATTCGATATGTTGTCAGACAGCGAGTTCACCTCTTCCGACTCAGATGGTGCTGTTGTTGAAGCACCATCCTCCGAGGCAATGTCAGAGGCTGCATCTGAAGTCATGCTAGATGGTTCTGATTGTTCTGGCATTTCAGATTGTGACTGAGGCTGTTTCTGTAGGCTCCAATACATAATGCTAGCAGTAAGTGTTAGGATCATCTTCTGATTCACCTGTTGAACCAGTAAGAACGTAAGAATGTGAAGCCACATAATGTAATGGCATGGCTAAGTAACAATTCACAAGTAAGAACCAGAATCATTGTTTACTAAGTAATGCTACATATTGGGAATTTATGTTTGATGGCAGCACTACAAGGAATTTGATATTTACTAGCGATAGCTATTTTACCTCGACGATGTCCTCTGGCAACAGAAACACAGAGCATCCAATCTTCCTTGCAATACTAATGATGTAGGTAGCATTCAGCTTCTTGTCCTCATCTGACATTCAAAAACAAATTGTAAATTAGTTATGATACAGTTTTGAAGTCATCGGTGAAGAAGACAAAATGATTAGTCAGAAATGAGGTTATCAAATAGTGAACTGAATGTATATGGGTTGAGAACAGACCAGCTTCCCCTTTAGTAACAACTTTCCAGTTCACAACCCGTGGCTGTACTGTGCTAAGAAGCTCAAGGAAGAACAATCCATTTGATAAGCTCTTGTCCTGAAGGGGAAAAACAGGAAACTAAGCAACCACAGCTTTCTGACAAAAAAAAAAAAAAAATTAAAGATATGTTCATTTGGGCACCTTGAAACTTTCCATTCGAGATGTTCTTCCGGACGCTTTCACTTTGCTGTTGGCCCAGTTTAGAATATCGGCATCAGAAATTTCTTTTCCTTGGGACCCTTGGGAGTGGGATCTCAGTTTGTTTAACAGCTGGAGGATATTGAATCTCATCAATTGCCACAGAAGTGCTGAAAAACACCAGAAAACTTGAGTTATATGATGCTACAAACAAGATATTAAGAGCATGATCCATTAGTGCCACTAGAAAACATTGATGCAGACAGACTCACCAACAATCAATTTCTTGTTTCCCTGAACAATATCATTCCCAGCTAGATTTACTAAAGAAAACTTTAATTGCTTCCCAATTTTTACAACCTGATTGCAATTCTCCAGTTTTCTAAATGGAAATTTAATTGGAGGTTTTGTTGCCAGCTTCCAATTGACAGATCCAGGAGACACCTTGTCAAGTACTTCAAGAAGTACCCATCTGCATCAAAATGGACATTGATAACCAAATCATTTAGAGAGAGAAAAAGACAGAATCAATCTCATGTCTTATTACCCATTGCGAACATCTTCAAAGACATTGTTCACATATGATTCAACCCCAAGGCTGTTGATCCACATCCGAAAGGCTCTTTCTTCTCTAGATAATAGAACATCATCACGTGTTGCTGTCTGTGTCAGAGTATCTTGTTTGGTGTCACTGGTTAGACCATTCCTGAACAGCAAAGGACAATAGCATCCATATAAGGATCAGATGACTGGTTATCTGTTAAACTTTAAGTATTAATGTGGCGGAACATGTGAAAATTGACCACATGATTTGGCGAGATAAGTCACATATTAGATGTTTTAGGTTTTTGGTGGTATTATGGAAAGAAAGGAAGCCATGTTTACCTATGCTGGAATATTTGTGCAACAAATGCAAGATTTAAATTTGCAGATCCCTCAGTAATATCCTTTGGGGTCAAGTATCTCTTACAGTCCAACTTCTCCGCTTGTTCAAGTACCAGTTTTGCCCTCTCATCCGGATCTTTGGTGTCCAATGTAGTTTCAGGGGAATGCTCTGGAGCAAGAGCTTTCAGAAGGTAAGCATAGGCTTCACCATCCTGTACAGAACTAACCGGTGTGACCATGGTTGCTGAACAGATTAAGCACAGAATGAAAAATTGAACCAATTTTAATGGATCAAGTCCAGTCTGACACACTTTTCCTATGCCGCCTTAGCCTAAGATGATAATAGCATCCAGCTGAGGGATATGGTAGAATAAAGTAATCTTTAGCAAATGTCTTGAAAACCAGCTTTAGCTTGCCAATATAATGCAGCAACAAGATAGATCAACTAGAACTATTAGCAAACAAGTGACTGATAAATTCAGTAGCATTTTTGTTTGTCATATGCACCTTCACATCTGAAGAGAAATTGTTAACAGTTTTCTTGTAGCCAGCTTTTTTCAGATGATGGTTCATCCACCGAAGTAGCATCTTTTCTGGTGACAAGCTCAAAACCTCGTCTATATCCTGCACAATAAGCAATAAAATGAATTTTGTTTTAAGAAACACACATATAAGAAATAAACAAGCAAAACTACCAGGAAAAAAAACAATGACAAAATGCTTTCGTTTACCTTGCTGTCATCAAATAGCTCCACCAGCTGCGGTGTCTTCTTGAGGTTCAGATCAGCCAAAAGTTGAATCTGATGAAGCAATGAATATTTATTCGATGAAGCAGAAGTTCAACAATAGTTGGAAAGCTGAACCACACCACAATATAAGCTTAGTCCAATGCTTACCTTTATGATTTGTGATATCAATCCAAGAACTAAATGAGGCTGCATGCAAAACAATGTAAGTTTGTTTAAGTCATCAGGTTCTTCAATGAATTGCGTGAATAAAAACTGAGAAATGAGTGTGATAGAGTCCATGCAACAAGGTGACTAAATGTCAATAACATATAGAGAAGCAGATAGGAGAAGAGAACAAGCAGCAAACGGTCAAAGAGCAATAAAAATACAGGGCATGTACCAATAGGTATAAAGAATAGAGAGATAGGTACAAAGTAGTACCATAGCTAGTCTGGTACCCCTAGTTAAACAAGCATTGTACAATACGTTGAAGTATCATAGGACATATAGTTTGATGAACACACCACTTAACTTTCCTAGATAAATAAAACTGCAGCATAGGAGTAAGTTAGAAGTAAGGCTTCAAGGGCAGGCACACATATCATACCCTTCCCTCCACCAAATCCTGTGTGCCAATGTTGACAACAGTGCATCCAATGGCCTTGGCAGAATTGAGGCAGAGTGTGTGATTTTCATTTCTCTCCCATGGGTTAAGAACTCTTTTCTTATTTATTGCCCTCTCATCAATGGTCCCTGGTACAGCTACATTGATCAATTTGCTGAGAAAATGAACCATCAGTGAACAACCATCAGAAAGGTCAAGTCTCAGATAGCTTTTGTTTAACAAGGGAATGCACTCTGCTACTATCTAGAAACAAGAGAGGCATCTCACCAGAGCAGAACACCGTCCCGGATGAGATCGAACAGCTGGTTTCCAGACGGGTCGATGGGCAAGTACTTCTTCAGGAATGGGTCTTCACGGAGGTAAGTATTGATGTGCGCCACATACGACGATTTCTCTGCCTGATTGAGATTGTGCAGCAGCGTAGTGGTGCTGGACTTGAGGAACGACGACTTGCCACCCCCGCCACCGCCGGCACCACCTCCCTTGGCACTCACCCGCGCCTGCAGATTCAGATACTCCTGCAACAACACCGCACCAGATTCCCTAGTCCCGTCAGAACAAATCGAGAATAGCAATCCATTCCTGTCGACATTATAATTGAATTACTCGAGAAACGCCGAGATGTATGTACCCGGAGGAAGGACTCAAATTCAATCTCCTGATCGCTGTCGGGGTACGACTCCGACAGGAAGGCCGCGATCTCCTCCTCAGAGACCACCTCATTGAGCCCCCTCAGCTTCTTCATCAGCCCCGGAAGATTCTTAGTGGTGACATGGCCGGAATCTCTCTTCAGAGACACGAACTGCAACACCCGCAAAATAAAATCACCAGGTGAACAAAACCGGCGAACCAAACGCAAAACAACTGCTGTTTCAGGTGCAGAGGAGGTGGAGGGGGGACGAAGCAGCAGCCCGCGGATTCGGACGTCACCTTGGCCTTGAGCGACCGGAGCTCGACCTGCGTGAACTGCCCCTGCAGCGAGGGGTCGGACACGACGACCCCGACGAATCCGGACATCTCCGCCGGCCACGGGCCGATTCCACCCGCGCCCGAAGCGGCTGCAAGAGGGAATCCAGATCAGAGTGGTCACGCGGCCTGGATGGAATGGAACCCCTGAAAAGGGGTAAGAAGGAGATGGCGCGTCCCGCCGAAGGGCCGGTGCGGCGCGGCGAGGAGATACCTTTCGAATGGGTCACGGCAATCCCTCACCCCTCCCTGGCGTGCGGTTTCCTTGCGCTCGACGGAAAAGGTGAGCAATGGCGTCCAGGTCTCCAGATTTCGTGGGGGCCGGGGCGCAGACGGAAAGCGGTGGAGACGAGAGGAGGTAAGGGCAGGGGTGGGGCCGGTTTCTCGTGTTTGTTTATTCAGTTTCCTGTCGCCGAATGAGGTTTCCTCGGGGTTAAGCCATTGGAATCGAGGAAACTGCTGCTCTTTTTTTCCACCTTCCTATTACTTTATTCAGGCTTCTTATGCATGCTAGCGTAGAAGAAATGGTTTTTTCTATCCAGAAAACAAACTTAAATTACCATCAAATCAAATTCATTACAAACTCAGGGGCTTGATTCATAAACACAAACCGGTAGTATTAGTACGAAGCAGAGGCTACCCTAGACGCACCATGAACAGTAAAAACAATCTGTGTCATTGAGTCGTTGTTACTACTGCAAACAGGAAACAGTTCAGAATTAATGTTGTTACACGGTTACCGGTGACACGCGAGTTCCACAGGATTCAGAAGCCCCAAAGAGTGCACCGGCCAGCTCCTATCCTAGGTAGAGCGAGATTACTACCAGATCTGAGTATCAGACCGACAATTCGGCGGGGCCCACCGCCTGACAGCGCCCTTGTCCCCTTGCGATTTGTGTTGCCGAAAGCGTCACCGGCCTTGGCCTGGCGTGTTCCGACGCGATTCAGCGTGTTCGCTTTCCGGTAAACGATCGTAAACAGCTAGCAGTAAATAATCCACGATACGATACGGCCTTCCGAACACGCCGACTCTACTTCGCGTCAGAACAAACCAATCCCGCCGCCCGCGTACATGTACTACTCCACATGGCTGCATGCGTGCCCCGCACCCCCGCCGCCCGCGTAGCCCGTCGGTCCCATCACAGCGACCCCGTGGCTCGTCCGTAGACACACATGTACTGCTGTACATATACAGCTCGTTTATCTGCAGCAGAAATGGAGAGGCACAAATATTCAGACTTGCAAAAGGAAAAGGTTGTGACTGACGCTGACTGCATTTTCGATTCTATCTATCCATCTATCTACCTGGATGATCGCAGGAACATTTTTGTGCTTGCGGATGCACGCGGTATGAGCTGCATGGGCCATCGAACAACTCAGCGACTCCCGTCACGCATCAGACATGAAAGAGAGAGAAACAGAAACACCTTGTGGAGATCACCGTAAAGTAGACGGCAAACAAAGCAACCATCGCATGGCCCTGGGCGAGGTGTAAACGCAGCAGCCTAGTAGTAGTTGACAATTGCGCTCCTGCTGTCAAAATTGTCTCGCACGGTCGTTCCAATGCCCTCTACGAAAATTCCAGATCGCCAGGTTTGCACGCCGCAAGGCTGTGTTTGTGCCGAGCGGCACACAGCTGCGTCGGTCGCCAGTACATTCCTTGGCTTACTATATTCGGCGTGGATCTCGGGCGCCTGCCGAGCGTCACCGCGTGCGAGTTGCGACCCGACGGCAACAGTAGGCGAGAGACAAAGGCAGCAGAGGGGGTCTGACGCGGCCAAATGCCAAGGGCCTGTTCGTTTCGACCGAAACGATAAACGATCGTAGATTATTACTGCTGGCTGGTTTAGTGTAAGAAAAAAAATACTATTTTGACTTATAATCTATGATCGTTTACTATCAAACGAACGGAACAGGAGCGGGAATTCTCTGAATAAAGTAGAATCTCGCGATGGGTTTGCTCCACCGCCCGCCTGGTCACATGGCACATGCGTCCGACCGACGAGGTGGAAAGGCCGCGGCGTGAACGTGCTCACACGTCTTTTGTAGCGTGACGATTTTTACTCCGCTCACGTGAAGCGGAGTCGCATAATATTAGCTCTGTGTGGCTGAAAACTGAAAAGGGTCAGCACTAATGCACTATCATAGTGAACAGCGTCAGTCTCTACTAATGGACCTTTTACGGTGAACCGTGTCAGTGTTAGGCCAGACTCCACCGGTTTGGTCGGCCTGGCCCAGTGCTTAGACCGTTTCCTTCTCTTTTCGTCAGCCTGCTGCCCCAGCACTGGACCGTTCTTATTCGGGCCTCTCTGCACTGTTCATTGGTCCAATCTGCCTCTGGTATTCCAACCAACTCACCAAACTCTACGCCAGGCGGCCCGGGCCTAGGAGAAGCGCAAAGCCAACCCTGCTACGATAGTCCACTCCTTGACTGCTAGTGCTAGCACACATTTTACAGGAAACAAAGAGCCCGATTGGTTGGGTTCTAATATTTGCCTAACCAAAATCATGACAAGCCAATATTTTTAGTCACCACTTGGTTTATTGCCAAAGAATTGGCACACCAATGCTTGTGGCCAAAGTTTTAACAAGTTTCTAGAAACTTCTTAAATTATATGAGAGAGAAAAGTGCTTTCTACGCTATGGCACTCAACCAATTGTACCCTATATTTTTTTTGCCTTAAATTTAACAAGCCTTGATTTTGGCAAGCCTAAATTTTAGCTTACCATAATTTTAGTTGGGGAAAAATTGGAAGTCAACCAATCAGGCCCAAAGCCGGTTGCAGGCCGGCCGGCCGGCCTTGTTCCCCAGGGCACCTGCGTCCTCTGGCTTGGTCTCTGGTTGTGCCATCATAAACTGACGGGTTCTTCAAACTCTCCCAGATCAGTAGGTTGATTGGAGAAGTCTAAACGTGCTAAGATTTGATGCCTCTTCATGGTGCGGAAATGACACTGAGATTTGATGGTACGATTTGTTGAGAGCAAATAGTACAAACGACTGAAAGTACTGCAGGAGTTCAACTGCTGAATTTTACCGCCCTCATTCATGATGTTAGATAGATGTCATGTTGCCAGGGATTTCAGACGTTATCAAGTTGCTCAGTCTCCGGTATGTAACGATGCCGAAAGCGTAAAATCCACGAGTTACATTAACAGACAGAACGGAACAGGTCACGATTGCATTACGCAAAACGCAGCTTCATTGCTCTGAACTCAACAGGGAACAGGCAGTTCGAAAAAACGAGACCCCGACAAAAGTTCAACACGCCCACGCACGCACAGACCGGTGGACCGACCTGACATGCACTGTCTACGAACGGTGTCAACAAGCCATTCAACTGGCACATGGAAGGGATATTCACACACACACACATAGACGCACGCAGCAACATGGTGAACAAAACCTAGGGACAGGACAGGACGAGCCAACGCAGAAAAGCAAAAGCACAGAACGAAACGGTTGATCGGCTCAGGGCCCCCAGTGAAGGCCGATCAGCTCGTCGACGGCCACTCCCGGCGGATGTCGAAGGTGTAGTTGATCTCCAGGTAGCACTTCCGGTCGTCGTCGAGGAACTGTCAAAACAAAATGCCAAATCTTGTGAACTCTCAAGTCAAATCTGAAGGATTCTGAAGTTACACTCCTGAACTGAACTGATAAAGACTCGTTCTGCTTCTGCATCCACGTACCTTCGTCCTGGCAGAGTAGGACCCCCGGGCAAACATTCCTGACGGGGTGGTGTCCTCTGGCGTCACGTACGTGTAGGGCTCCAGCTGGGGGCTGAACGTGCCGAGCATCTCCTTGGCTCTGTCAACTGCGTGACAACCAGCAGACCGTGAGCTGTGATCAAGTGATGATTGGACCACTAGGGGACGTGGTCGTGCGCACAAATGGTGGTGTGTTCGTGTTCCGCCAAACAGATCCTGGCGGTTGGCTTTCAGCGTTTCAGTGTCTCTCTCACCTTTGAGGCCGGTCTTCCAGACGGTGTTGGTGTAGCGGAGGCCGGAGACGATGTTGTTGCTGACGGAGAAGGTGAACTTGAGCCGGTACGGGGAGCCTTCCTTGAGCGTGAACCACACGCCCTTGGCGTTGGGCTCCACCGGCAGCGGCAGGAAGATGTCGGGCCGCCCCGGCGACAGGATGGACAGGCTCATTATCTTCACGTCCGGCTCCAGCGTCTCTGCGAGCATTCGCAGGATGTTCAAAATTCAGATCTGCTTCGAGATAGTACTTCCATCTCCCATTCGTTCAAACGGCTGAGAAGGTTTTAATGTACTACAGTACTTTAATATCAAACAAGAATCATTCAGAAACTCTGTGCTTTTATTGGAGGGCAGGCTGATTCTGACCATGAACGCATGAAAATGTGTCTAACGTTCCTAATAAAAAAAAAACCAGAAACGTGCTTAGCATAAAACGAAAAACTCGCGATGCATGAAAATGTGCACTAACATTCGTCTAAAAAGTCTAAACCAAAAGGCAAGTGCTCCATGAACAAATGCCCGCATCCAGCAAATTGAACTGATCTTAAAAGCATCAAAAGCACCAGATAAACTATATAAGAAGTTCAGAACAACAACGACAACCAGTATGCCACTTTTCAGGATTGGAAGTTGCTGACATTGGTATCCTATAGCTGAACTTCTAGGGTCCAGGATTCAAACTATCATTTGCAGAAAACCAAATGTCCAAATAGCAATAGCCGGTGCCCCTCCACAATTTTCTTCAGAAACGACCGGCAGAAAAGACAGGCAAGCCGGCCGCCGGCCGGCCGACCGACCATTACCGAGCCCACCGGCCACCGCCTCTCACTTTTACCCGCGTCTTTATTTTCTACGGCAGAACGCAGCACGATTACGCGAACGTTACGTGCAGTACGGGGTGTGGCCGGTGCGTAGTGCATTAGCGAAGAAAACGGATTAATAATAAGCAGTTAAGCACGTCACGGGAAACAAATGAATGAATGGCCGGCTCACGGGATCGCGGTCACGGGACCATCTCTTGGCATGGCGGTGCTCACATGCGTAGCCGTAGGTGATTCATGTGCCGGCGCCCCACTGGCGCCATTAAACAAGGCCGCAAGGACGCCAGAACGGACGGGCGAGCCAATCAAACGCACGCACCCAGCAAAATCTGCTTAAAAATCTCGAAATTTTTTAGCTGCGAGTGCGAGTTTACCTCCCACGGAGTTGAAGTCCACGCTGCCGAGGAGCTGCTCCTTCCATCGCCGCAGGCTCTCGTCGTCCTGCGAGTTAAATGCAACCCCCAAGAAGCATTATTATTAGTGAAGAAACGCACTTGAATTGAAGTGGCTCCTCGTAACCGAAAGAGACCAGCTGACCAGCAAGATCGTCGACATGCATACGGGAAGGAAGCTAGGCAGCATCAATGGCGGCCGAGAGGGAATGCATGGCAGCGAGCGAGCGAGCGTCCGTACCTTGTCCTTTTCGAGCTGCTCCTTGATGCTGACCCTGGGGCCGAGGTCGATGACCTTGGGGGCCTTCTCCTCGTCCTCCTCATCCTCCTCCTCCTCGTGGCAACGCGGCGCCGCCTCGCCGCACTTGCCGTTGGGCTTGGGCGCCGCGTCGCCGTCGTGCACCGCGGGCGCCGCTGCTTTCTTGGCCGCCGCCTCCGGCTCCGAGCCGGCGGGGACGTCGACCTTGGAGCAGGAAATGGCCTCCACCGCCGACGACATCGTCGCACGCACGCGCCGGGAAAAAACTCTCTTCTCGCGCGCAGTGGCGTCAGCCAGCCAAGAGGGCGCGGCACGAGCAGAGAGCGGCGGGGCAAGAAGAGGGAAGCGTGGCAGGGGCGGCAAAGGAAGGAAGGCGAGGAGAGACGAGCACAGATACCAAGAGCGCGCCAAAAGGAGAGCGAGCAGAGCACACACGAGACGAGACGTGGAGAGGAGAGAGGAGAGAGGAAGGCGGACACGTCGAGGCGGATTCGGACAGGGGGAAAGGACCGCGGCGCAATGCTCCAAAAAGAGGGCGCGCGCGCACGCAGAGGCGCAGAGCGGACGCCGGACGGCGAGGGGAGATGGTTGGATCCAACGATCAGAGATTAGCAGCGCCAGCGGCAGAGAGGATAAGGGGGGCTTTAATTCTCCCCCGCGGGGACGGAGAGGTGACGGACTGGAGACAACGTGACGGGCACGACCCAACGCGCCGCGCTGCTGCAACCCCCCTACAGGTTGTACACCTGTGGTGGCGTTGGTTAGGAGTTTTAATTCTCGAGACGACGCGAATCGCGATGGGGATGAGAAATGAGATCGTTGGTGGTTTTGAATTCTCTGACAGCGCAACGAAACTGGATAGAGCCAGCCCTGGTCATCGTCATTCTTCAAATTCGGTCAGTAACAGTGTCTCGCAGTAAAAACTAAGAACACTGGTGGTGGAAACTTCGGTTAACTGCATGATTAAACTGGCCAAAGGTTTTATCCTGAACGGTGCTTTTCCCTGTCCGCGCGGGCAGCTTTGTCCGGGGTCTTGTCCGATGTGGCCCGCCCGTTCCGTTCATCACGCCCCAATCATGGATCTGCAGTCCTGCACCCGCTCCAGGCCATTCGATGCGGCGTAACGATCGAATCAGTGGGGGCACCAATCATTGGGCAGTACCACAGCTCAGCGTGTCAGCATTGTCGACACGAGCAGAGCAGGCAACTGGTGCACCGAATTTTCCGCTCCATTCAGCCCTAAGTGCATGGAAAACTTTCTGCCGTGTGAAGAATCCTGTCGTGCCAGTCTGCCAGTGATCAATGCGACTATGCAGGCGCAGCGCAGGCAATGAACGGAGGCTGGCCATGCATTATATTTGCGCTAATGATCATGACCTCCCTGTGTTGTTTTAGCCTCCGTTTGAGCAAAACCTGACAAGTGGTGTCACTCTGGAGATGCATCTTTTTCAAAAACAAATTTGTCACACTGGAAGATAAAAGAGATTACAGAATGGCGTGATTGGTATTAGACATTTAACCTTCTCCATTTTGGTTTCTCAATAGAATAGCAGGGCAGCCCAAGCTGAAGTGGGTTTGTTAGTTCCAAACCTTAGAACTTATTTGCTTCCGTAGTTCCGTTGGCTTGCCAAACAGCAAATTGGTCCCAAGCGCTGAAATCGTCACCTAAGGCCTAAGGGTAACGCCTGCAGTAGGCAGCTTGAGAAAAGCAATCAAGCCCTTAATGCTTGTATCTAGCGTTAGTTGGGAGTTAGGGCTATGAAAAATACGATAGTGGAATCATTTAACAGATCGATTAACAGTTCTTACAGGAAGCGGAAAGCACGCTACATTTGACAAGGGCAACATAGATAATACAATACAACTTTTTCGGTGATCAAGAGGGCAAATCTACATGCATGGTTGTTTTGTCAAACGCTTCACCAAAACAGCTTTGAAGCTGCTAGTAGAGATAATGACAACAAAAAACCGATTTATTGGTGAAGTTGAGCTCTGATTGTTTTGTCAAACGCTTCACCAAAACAGCTTTAAAGCTACTACTGATTTATTGGTGAAGTTGAGCTGTGCAGGGCCTTAGAATTGACATTAGAAAGCTAAATTATGCAAAACTATTGGACAAGGCAAAATTAGAACTCCACACAAATTTTATGCATATAATCTATGGTTTTACTAAGGATGCTGTATGTAGCATGGGCACTTGTTTAGGCATTTCAACAAAAGGGTACACTATCTTGTAGCTAGTCGTCTTGAGCTTAAAAATGTCATGGGAACTTGTTTAGGCATTCCATCAAACGGCTACACTACCCGGCCATTCCATCAAACGGCTACACTACAGGGTAGCTAACAATTTGAGCCTAAAAATGTCATGGGACACTTGTTTAGCATTCATCAAACGTTGTCTAACATTTCATCAAACGGGAAGCCAGAGACCATTTGATCCCAGCGTAAACATAGAAGCCAGACATTTTGACCCCAGCGTAAAATATCGCAGGGATGTCGCATGGCTTATAGAACCTCTACAGAGACATTCTGACGCACAACATTCACTAGAGATCTAGGCCTTATTTAGACTGAGGTTAGAAATAAATATTGAGCACTGTAGCACTTTCGTTTATATTTAACAATTATTATCCAATCATGGCCTAATTAGACTCAAAAGATTCGTCTCGTAATTTACCATCAAACTGTCTAATTAGTTATTTTTTTTATCTACATTTAATACTCTATGCATGTGTCCAAAAATTTGATGTGATGGAGAGAGAGTGAAAAAAATCTAAACAAGGCCCCAGTGATAATAAAAATGCTATCAACAAAAGTATTGCAAAAGGTAAAGAGAAACAAACAATTAACCGCAGCAAGACTCTCTCATCCGATACTTAATCGAAGGCAATGGATGTAAGGAAAATTGCCCGACTGACAAAGCAAGGGCAGACTCGACACACCCTATGACAATAAATGTTTTCGGGGACCGATGCCACCACCTAGTAGGATAGTTACGAGTGTTTGGAGATCAAAGTCTCCGCCCAAAACGAATGTTGGAAGAATCCTCCCTCTACATGAATTATTAATTTCTTCGATATGAAAGGCAAAAACTTCACCAGATCCTGATTGGGCAGGACCGGGAACAAACTGCTCTTGTTCGTCATCATTTTTCTCCATTTAAGCACCGCCGGAGCCATACTTCTTCCCGAAGAAGAGGATCTGGAGCTGGTCGTAGCCGGAAAGCACACCAGCACCAGCAATGGCACGAAGAATGTTAGCACCAGCACCCTTGAACAGCGACTTGGGGCCTTCCTTCTTAAGGATCTGCTGGAACGCATCCAAGGAGCTCTTATACTTGACGGCCTCACCAGAAGTCATCATCATCCTTCTGCGGACGGTATCAATGGGGTAAGATGCAAGACCAGCACCGTTGGTGATCAGCCAACCCAGGGCAAAACTGGCAAAGAAATTGTCCTGCAAAAGGGAAAAACACATCTTATAGCTCAAACCACAAGCAAAAGCACACTATATTGAAATAGACAGAAATTAGACAAACCTGAAGGTTGCCGGTGAGGACAACTGGCTTGATAGAATCGTAGAGCCCAAAGTACAGACCACGGTAAACAATGATTCCAACACAAGAGATGTTAAATCCACGGTAAAGCCCAGCAATGCCATCAGATTTGAGTGTCTTGCGGTAGACATCCACAAGACCATTGAATTGCCTGTCACCTCCTCCCTTGGCAGCCTTGGCATCATTGGCCAACCTTGTCCTGGCGTAATCCAGGGAGTACACAAAAAACAAAGAGGAAGCACCAGCAGCACCACCAGAAGCGAGGTTGCCACCAAACCACTTCCAGTAACCGTCCTTGTCCTTCTTGAAGTTGAACAACCTCTTGAAGTAATCCTTGAATGCAAAGTTCAAAGCCTAGGACAAAGATATGAAGACAATTAATAATATATAAGTTAAATTATACTCAGTAACTTGTACAGGCCATCAGGAGCATTCAATCATTTAGGTACTGAAAGATCATGTAGTTTCATCATATTTACAATAGTTACTGAGTAAAAAAATATAATGGAAGGTGTGGGCTACCTGAGTAGGGAAGTAACGAATAACATTAGCGGTGTTACCCCTCCACAAGGAAGAGAAACCCTCATCCTTGATGGTACGTTTGAAGCAATCACCAATACCCTTGTATGGTTCTGACAGCCTACCAGACTTAATCATCTCATCCTGGTTCTGAATAAGCAGCTTCACACGCTCAATGGGAGCAGCAGCAGTCTTTGAAACAGCAGCTGAAACACCACCCATCATGAAATCAATCATGAAGTTTTTGCCTCCTTTCTCAGCTGGAGCATTGGCAAAAAGTGGGGTCTGCATCACTGGGACATTGATGCCACCGCTAACAGACATTGAAGGGCTAAAAAGGCTCTGGATCATGTAGTTCCTCGTGGTAAATCTCCTTTCATAAGATGAGACAGAAGGGCAGATGTTACGGGCCCGTACACCTTCAGAGAAGTAGGAGCTCAGGTGGAACTGGCCACCGAGCTTATGAAGGACAGTGGGTTGGTTAGCCTGGTCCGCCATTACCACCTCAAAACTATTGGCTGCAACACAATATCAATACACAAAACTTAGGACAGTGCATAAAGAGAAACAGAATGTGTAAAAAAGATAAGCATATGTTTAGTAATAATAAAGCTACAGAAACAGACATTATTTTCTGAGTTTCAACACAGAGTAAAAACAAGTCAAAGCTAGACACAGTTAATTGAAGTAGAGAGCCTCCGTATAAACATTAACAGATAAAACTATCAAACAGAAATAAACAATTAATTCAATTATACAGACATAGATATTTATATTTTCATGTTCCATAACTCTAGTCTTGACAACAATCATCAGAATAGAACAGAAGCATAAAAATGAATCAACAAAATTTACACTAAGACAGCCTATTGTAGCATGCTGAAACAGTTCAGGAATTTTAACATTCACAGGTTGTGTAACAGATGAAGATTACCATGATCTCCAAATTCAATTTACATTAAAACCATTGAAGAACATCATAGCATGTCAAAGGTATTGGTATGCACACAGGTTGTGTAACAAATGAAGATTACCTTGATCTCCAAATTCAATTACACTAAAACCATTGAAGAAAATCATAGCATGTCAAAAGTATACGTATGCACTCTAGGACTCGTCCTTTCAAGAACCCAAAAATAAACCCATTGTTTTCAAGTGCAAATGAGACCATCTTTAACATGTGTTACCAAGCGAATATTCCATTTTTGCCACTTAGGCCTATTAAATCACGACAGTTTACCCAAACTTAAACCGTGCACAAAAAAAAACATGGATTATGATGGCCTGTACGAAGTACAGAGTGAAAGCAGATCCAGGGCAGTGATCATGCTAATCAAGATCTTCACATGGTATGTGTGCATAAAGTCTAAAGAATTCAACATTTCAACCAAAATCTTTGGGACGGGAGTCTGCCGTCAGATCGCCATCCACGGCTCAGAGCACAAACAGATCTAACGCGACACCGTCACTATCACGAAACAGCGGTCAAAATACGACATATTTTTCCTCTCCCTGTCCCACTTACCCGATTGACCAACCAATAACCTCGCGATATAAAAAGGTTCCACAAAGATCTAAGGATTCCAGGGCTCCAAGACAAACGGAGCATAAAATCCACTGCGATGCACACACCTACGGAGAAATACGGAGTAGATCTCAATTATAGATGAACCGACCACTAGGAGAGTCTCAACAGTCCTTACCCGACGCAGGAAGCACCGATCTGAATGAACCTCAAAGGCCGAGGCTACCACACGAACGATCCAAGCCTAGAAGCCGGAAATAATGGATCTATACCCGACGAACACAGACGGGCGGAGCAGATCTATATATAACAGGAGATATAACAGCACGCATGCCGGACCGATCGCCACAAGGAACGAGAGCACGATCCTAAATCGGGAACAGAGGACGGGAGAGAAGACTGGTGGGACGCGAGACTCACCCTTGGGCACCGGAGGCGGAGAGGGAGGAGGACTGGGCGGCGGCTCCGAACTTTCAGAGGCGCGTCGAGGTGAGAGGGGGGCGATGCCTTCCTGGGGAATGCCTTTTTATCTCCGCTGCGCCGCCACCGCGCGTGCCACCACCCCGCGTGCCCCCCGCCCAGTGGGTCCTCGCGCGCGGGCTGGCCGTCCGATCGGGCGGGGCCGGTGGATCCGCGTCTCCCCCGCGCGGTGGGCCACATGGGGGGTGGTTCCATGCTGGGTATTTTGATTCGTCGGATACCCGGATCCGGTGCGAAGTGTCGAACTCCGAACGGCGGGCTCGGCTAGCGGAGGATCGTGCGGTGCGGACGTGGTTGGTGGGGAATGGGGGAGCGCGTGTACAGTGTGGCACGGCGGATCCAGGGCGTTAGGGTTTGTTTGCGCTGGAACGGACGGTGGATGTGCACCGCCATGTGGGGTTGGTTGGTCAGATCGGGGTCTACGTCCAGGTCCAGCGATAGCGGAAGAAGGTTGGGGGAAGGCGGAGTGTGAAAGGGCAGCACGGAACATGGGCTGGGGTGTGCGAAACGTGCAAGTTGGTTGTGGCCTTTTGATGATGGGATGGATGGTCAGCACTGAGCAGCTAGGCTGTATCAGGGCTAATGGATTCTAACCACCAATTAGCCCTTATTAGCTCTTATTAGTCCAAAATTAGCCCACATTTAGGCTTTATAATTGGTATCCAAAAACATGGGCTAATTATTAGCTCCTGATCCAAACACCCTCTAAAAGTGACCCTAATTAATAAGGGTGATTTTACCAAAACTCTGTAGCCAACCAAACAAGATTTTATACAACACATACATAGATGTTACAAGCAAACCGAAATACCATATACACATTTCTTGCATTGCTTTATGCTATCTTAGGCTACCACATTTATTTTGCTAGCAAAGTTTGGCGAAGAAACACATCCATGTTATCTGGACATACTCCTATATGGCATGTATGCAGTTAACTAGGCTGGTATGCGCGCTCCGCTGCGCCCGTGATGAACATGAGCATTATGTTCAACAGTTTATGCAATTATATGTTTAACCTGCAGTACATCAAAAGACACCATACGTACTACAAATTATAAAATCAAGTTTAAGTTAACATCTATATTGGTTGGGGCAATGGAGTAGCAACATCACAGAGAAGATAATTACCTCATCGCAAAAGAGAACATGGATTGTTTATAATGACCTTCTATAGTTGCATGTCAATAAAACAAGGGTAATCACGAAGATTACACCAGTATACAGCTGATCTGGTCAGAGACATATATTTAGAAAATCTACCCTGGATTACAAACAGTTCAATTTATGACCAAAGACATGAACAATCCAAAGCTTCAACCACAAATCAGTTACCATATATCTGTTTAGCTGTGCTTAGCTTCCATAGTTCCATGTGCTTTCACTTGGCCTATACACACACATCAATTTAAAACAAATGTGGATCCATCATGGCGATATTATTTTGAGTAACAGGTGTATATTAGGGGAACACATGAACTACGAATTGGGCAGCTGAAAGAGTAAATAGGTACTTTTACCTTATGTCAGCCATGCTCGATCTGGTCAGAGTTCAAAGAGGGCGCCAAAATACGGGTGGCCTGCTCCAGGTTCCTACAACCATAGGGATTATCCCCCTACCAAGAATCATGGTTCCATAAGAACACAATGTTTTAGATCAAAGCTTACATTGTGTTTTCTGATTTTTGTAAGCTGAACACTATCGAACGGGGCATATGCTGGAACAACAATAGATCCTTTTTCTTTTAAAAAACAACATCGTCAATGCTGCAATCTGCTAACTGCTAAGAGGATAGATCCAGTCGTTTGTGACTATCTGATGAAGGTAAAATAAGAAGCATGTTATAAAAAGAGAGATTCTATTTCGGTCTACATCCTTCGCTCACCCTCTAGTATAACAGCAAAGGTCATAATATAGATTTTTTGACCTAGCCAGGATCATGACAAGAAGGTTTAGTCGAAATATAGGCACAAAAATAATTTGAGATTACCAAGGAGTAAAACTGCACATCATTCTTGATTATTAGGCTTGCTAACTGGACATGATAAGGAGCACTACTCCACATTGATCTTGAATATTAGGCGTACTAACCAGACGTAACAACGAAAACTAATGGTGTGTTTGGTTTGTGGAGTCACCCCATTCTTCATAAGGTGATGCATCATGAGTTCATCCTATGAATTTTGGTGGAATCAACTTATTCCTCATGCATATACTAATTATTAGCTTGTGAGGAATGAGGTGATGATTGATCACAAACCAAATACAAAAAGTGAGGAGTGAGAAGATGATGGACCACCTCATTCTTCAAACCAAACACACCCTAAATGTATCACCGACTCCATGGACAATTTGAAGTTTTGAATAGACTCTGAGATGTAGTATTTATACTTTACATAGAAATCCAATTAAAGCATCAGTGAAAGAATATACATGATGTACATGTTGCTCAGTTAGGCAAATGAGGCAAATCTATAAAACAGAACATGAATATTGTGTAAAATGTAAGTGAATCAAGAAGGTCATTTCGACTGCAACCTTTACAAAAACGGCTTGCTCTATCTTTGGAAAGAACTGAAGGGGTAAGCTAATTGGTAACATTAAAAAATCTAATAGGCTGTGTAAATTCCAAAGCATCTATTTACACTGTCGATTTTCACAATTGATCTTGTAATTGAATGGTGAGACCAAGATTTCAAAACACTAAGCTGTACAAAGTAACATGATATATCATAAGACTTTGAATAGGTGATCCTATCTAAGAAGGGTATCTGTTACCACTTTGGAATCCAAAGAAGAAAAATAGCATTACATGCTCACTTGAATTCATGCCCATGCAGGTAGAGCAACATAAAAGCAACCGATTAATTTGGGGGAAAATGATGAATGGCAAAAGAGAATAGGGAACATCATGCTCACATGCATGGGAAATGTGGTCGCTTGGCTCAATGGTGCAGCACTCAGGATGAGAAACATGGTCCTTCCAATAGGAAAACAATCGGATAAACGCTGAATGTAAAATGAGAATATGTAGCAGACCATGCAAATGAAAGCATAGTCGGAAGCAAAAAAATTTAGTATATAAGTGATGCAAGTCTTGTTCCCCATAAATTATTAAGCTATGTAGCTACTGACATGTATGCATCCAAGAAGAGCAATATGCACCTGACAAAATATTTATGTAGCCTTTCCTCTGCAGTGCTACTAACTTTGCCACACCATTGCCGCCAATTACACAAATGAAGGAGACACATTGCCGTGAACCCTGGAACTCCAAAATAAAACACAAAGCTACATTTTTCATGTAATTCAATAGGTACAACTTTTTTGCAATTTCACAATTATTATAATAGTAGTTGTTCCAGGGCCTGACGTCATGAAAACATAATGAGTCTGTTCGCTGGTTGGTTTCTGGGCTGATAAGCCCGGCTGGTGCTAGTTTGTTGTGAGAGGAAAACACTGTTGGCTGGCTGATAAGCCCTGGCTGAAACCAACAAGCGAACATGCTGAATGTAGAATACACACAAGGAAGATGGGTGCAGAGGTAGCTATCAAGAGAAAACATTGCATCAGGCCTTGAATTTTAAGCAGGCAAAAATCCATTTAATAATATGAGGAAAATAAGGAGAGAAGAGGTGGGCAAAGAAAAGGAAGAGCAGAGGTGGGCAGGGAGCATACAGGTTCGCAACATTGTTGTGTACGTATTCCTGATCCCCATTAGCCCATAGGATAAACTTGATATTATCATGTGCTTGTCTTGATTTAGTTCTTCAAGTTCTTGTCACGTCCAGGACAGGAAATATGAAGCACCATGCTACCATCACCTGTTACTGTAATTCAGTAGTAAGAAGCACATCCATATAGCAATAATATAGTTTCAGACTTATAGACGAAAGAGCGCTCTTTTATATTATGATTTTAAGCCAGCCAAAATAGCACCTGTTCTCTTTGCCAATCTGTGAGTGGAAGACCATAGCGTATAAGTTTTAGGTTACATGCAGGAAATAATCAACCTGAATTTATAGGATGATCCCTACATGGTACGCAGGTAGCTGACATATCTCTATATGTTTGGATGCTATAGAAACTTTAGATTAACCAAGCCCCAAATTAGAACAATCAATCATATAGTACAACTTATCCTCCTCTTCCTTTTCCCCTTGCTACAGATGTCCAGGGCGAAAAGGAGGCGACGCCCGTTTCCAGCGACGATTTTGCCGGCCCCTTTTCTCTTCGGTGGCCGGAGAGGCGTCGGAGAGGGGAATGGGTCGGGGAATCGCCGTGCGGCTGTATATAGAGTAGGTGAGAGTCTACCTAGGTCTAGGGTTTGCTCGCCATCTACTGATGGTGGAGCTAGGGTTCGCGGGGGGGGGGGTGTTCTTCTGCGGCGTGCTTTTCCGGGCGGCGTCGGCAAGACAGAGGAGTCGACGACGCTGGAGAATAACTTCTCCCCACATCTCCTTCGTCCCGGCGGCGTTCTTCTCCGGCGCCTATGGCGAGGTCGGGGAGTTCTGTACAGGAGTCCGGGGCTGGCGCTTCATCGTCTTTGCCAGGTGATGTTGTTGTTAGCCTTCTTTTGCAAGGATGCAGAGCTATCTGTGGGTGTTGTGGTTGCTGGCCGGCCGGATCTAGCTCAATCCTCGCTCGGCGGCGGCGGTCGCTGGTGGCGTGCTCAGATCCGGGAGCTAGAGAAGTTGGGGCGCGGCCCCGGTCAATGGGTGATCGCCGACGGCTTCATCCCGTTTCCCATGACGGGTGTCTGCTTCGACTCCTTTCAAAGCCAGCGTGCGATGGGACTTTTCCAGCTCATGGTGGTGTTCGGCTTCTTCTTCGACGACGGCAGCCGGTAGGATGGTTCGCGAAGCATCCAGGGGCATCGATGTAATTTTTTTTCTTGTTTAGGGTTCTTCGTGAAGATTGGCTGCGACAGTTGTCTCTGTATCCTATACGTACGTGTCTTTATTTATATGCACCCATGTATGTTTTCCTTAATTAGAAATTCAGATACCGTATTATAAAAAAAATCATATGGTACAACTTGCAGTGTAGTACCTATTAGACCAAATTACTGAAGCAACTTTGACATAGGTACGCAGGCTTTTCGGAAGGAAGTTATAGCACTAACAACGATTGGTCAATCTTGATGTGCCTGTGTTAGATCAAAGGGCAGATCACATAACTACTAAAAAAATGACAGAACCCGAGTAATAAAAACATAGATCACCCACTGTATCACGTGCAGCAAAGCGTCGGTGTCCTTTCTGATCCCACGCTGCGATCCTCTCCTGAGCATGGCTCGAACCATGGAACCAGGGGAAATCAGATATTAAAGGATGGACAGAGGAACTGTACCTTTGTTGCAGCGAGATGTGGAGGCCGGTGAGCCAGTGGAGAAGAGACATAAGGCGAACGTGGTTGACCTCGAGGACGCCGCCGCAGGAGAAAACGGATCTGCGACCACAACCATGGCCTTGTCGCACGGGATCGCACGCCCGGCCCGTGGAAGCAGAGCAAGCGGCTCCCTGGACGGGAGGAGTTGAAGAACATGGGTCGGGGAGGGGATGGCGGAGCGGGAGCGGATGAGGCAGGGATGGGACACGGGGTGGTAGTGTGCAGAGCTCCGGCGACGGCGCGGACAGTGGACGGAGGAGGCGATGGCTGCGTGGTTGCGGCAACTGTTGCAGCCGGTATTCCTGTTGCAAAGGGGACACGTGGACAGGGGGACGGGAGGCGCTTTCATTGCGCGTCGAGGGCTATTGTTCTCCTTCTCCACGGGCTCCGCCAGCGAACTCTTCGCCATTTACGTCCGCAAGGCGGGCGCGAGCAAAGCAAAGGCGGTTGCCCACACAATCCGGCGGGAACATAGTTCCAGGCTTCCCTCCCTTCCCCGCGCCCAATTCACGCTTCTGCCCGAAACCTCACCGCTCGCTTCGCCACGTCGCTGGGGGCGGAACAGTCATTCCGCATCCCTCCCGTTTTTAGGAAAACCGATTCCCCGCTTCGGTTCGGTGCCCACCACAAAGCTGACCTGCGGAAGCGCGAGGAGGACGAAAGGGACCGGACGAAGCTGCGCGCTGCACCGACCGACCAAACCCTAGGCGTTCAGCGGGCGTCACCACGGCGGCGAAGACGGGTGCCTCGCGTCGCCTTGGTGTCCCCGAAGTCGTCGACGGTGCAGCTCGATCCGCCTCGTCGAGCATGTCGAGGAGGTAATACTTCGGTTGCCCCAGCATGCTCGATTCAAACTGCAATTCTAGCGATTTCGAACTGGATGGGATGCTTTTAAGCTTAGAGGTGGATCGCGCTCGTGTTGCTGTGACAATTTCGGTTTGGATTTAGCTTGTATTTCAGCATTTGTATAGCATCCCAGTGCGGTCATCCTGCAATGGAGCTGAGCGTTAGTGTGGAGGTCTAGATTTGGGCGACATACGGCTTGGTATTGGCTATTTTGTGCTAAATAAGATATTATTATTGGATTTAGTGAGGCTGCAATTTCGGATTTAGGAAGTATGGAACCATCGAGGCGACTAAATTGACCTTTCTCTGTCATTTGAATTCGTTTGGTTGCCCTTGTGCAAGAATTAGATCACGTGTGGTGGTTAGTTGGAGGTCATTATGAACGACATCACGGATTCAAATCATCTGGGTACATTGTGAATCACGGGACCAGTGGGAGTGGCACAGAAATGTCCTCGACAATTGCTGGATGCAATATATCCTCTCTCTCTCTCTCTCTCTGTGTGGTGGGGTGGGGGGTTGACGCCGTGAGGGGGCAGTGGTCCTTTATTTACCCAAAAGGCCCCAAGCTTATCCCGAAGTGTAGGTTGATGTGTAAATTTTAGAATAGCAGGACAGAAGGGCTGCTGAGGTAAACTCTGAATAAAAGACTGTACTGGTACACCTTTAGCGATAAAATAGGATGAGTGGAAATGTTTGCCAATGGCATCTCATTTTATGGTTTTATATGGTGGTGAGATGGCGAGTAGAACACTTTGAAGTGAAATGAATTACTAGGAAGAGAATGGAACTATGTTTGTCATGTTGTCAGTTCTGTGACACATCAGAAACACATTTCTGGGGATGGAATGTTTATTTCAAGCCCCCAAAAGCTGGGGTAACTAATTAATCCTGGGATCCTTGTATATTTGTACTGACTTTAGCCGTCTCTTATTGAGGATACACGTTGGCATAGCAAATGAAATGTTAATGGCTGTGTCCATGTAGAGCTTATAACAATTTAGAGTGTTCCCTTATGTTGCCTCTTTCTTTTTTTCACCAGGGTCCCTTGCAAATTCTTCTTGCATGGAGCTTGCTTCAAAGGAGATTACTGTGAATTCTCCCATGACTGCAATGATCAACCAGATAATGTAACCTACGTACTTCTAACTCCAGACCAGTTTCCCTGCACTATCCAATTTACATTTGCATGATCCAGTAACAGTATTCCTGTATTTCTTACAGCAATGCTCTCACCTACAGGTTTGCACGTTCTACCAGAAAGGGGCGTGCTCCTTTGGTAGCCGTTGCAGAAATGAACATGTTGAAGTTCATCGTAACTGCCCCCAACCAGCAACCACTGCAGCACGTGCATCCTCCAATTCTTCTCAGATAGTTGCTTCTTCCAGAGATCCTCTTTGCAGCGAATGCCAAACGGATTTGTGTGACCAAACGCAGCAGATATCCAAGTCAACAACAACACTTTCTGCACATCAACCTGCATGGGCAGTTGATTATCATGACCATGACACTCCAGATGATACCACAAGCTGGCCGTCGTACCAAGCTGTGCAAAATCAAACATCACAACATCCTGCTCATCTGTCAAATTGCTCTTCTGCTGCTGCTGGCACTTGTCCTTATGGGAAAGACTGTTCTCAGATGCATGGAGATCTATGTGGCTGTGAAAGACAGTGCCTGAATCCTTATCAACCTGATGAAAGGGGCGTGCATGCCAAGCTATGCAAGAAAAACAACAAACTTCTTGAGGCCATGAGAAAAAGTGAAGATATAGAATGTGGTGTGTGCTTGGACCGTGTGCTTTCAAAACCTACGGCAGCAGAAAGGAGGTTTGGGCTGCTATCTGACTGTGACCATTCCTTCTGTATCTCATGCATTAGGAATTGGCGTAGCACCTCTCCTATGTCTGGCATGGATGTCAACTCTACACTCAGGGCTTGTCCAATATGCCGCAAACTGTCATACTATGTAGTTCCTAGCATCACGTGGTACTCCTCAAAGGAAGAAAAACAAGAAATTGTTGAAGGTTACAAGGCTAAGCTCAGGTAAGAAACTTGATTTAAAAATTTGACTAATAACATCAACTCATCTGTAGTATTTAATTTGCTTATTATTAGTGATGCATAGATACAACTTCTGTTGTATTTTCTGCCAAAGCAGAAGTTAATTCACTAGTTGTATATGTTATGCAGGTCTATTGATTGTAAGCACTTTGACTTCGGAAAGGGCACTTGTCCCTTTGGAAGCAGCTGTTTTTACAAGGTACATAATATATTTTTTGGGTCATTTAAATGCCTCTTTGTTTGATTACATGCTTCAAAGCATGTATTGTTTATCTTCATTCTTGAGTGGAACATAATTAGCTTATCATAGGAGATATTTTCAATCTAACAATGCAAGTCTTGTTCCTAGTACATCTTTGTAATTTGAAAGTGGAACCTTTATATAGCAGCTTGCAATTTCAAGCTGCTTGCTGTCATTGCTCGAATTCAATAGTAGGTTTAAGCTGCACTGTGGTCCTTCAAAAGTGCGTCCCCATTTGCACAGTGAATTGCTATCATTGTCCATTTCTTAGTACATACAAGTATCAATTTATTTATTGAAAACATCTGCCCGTTAATTATGATATTTGAAGATTTCCTTTTTGAGGAAAATGCAAGTATAGGACATGGCCCTTTAGAACTTCTAAGAGAATTGATAGTGTGTCTCGTATAATGAACCGCTTGATGGTCATCTGGTTCCTCCACGGGGCTCAAGTCATATACTTCGTATCATAGAGTAATATGCGTTTCCTTTTGTAGTAGCTCGTCTTGTCAGTTTCCCATGGCGTTATGTTCTACTGTTTTCACACCTGTAATTGCATCGTTTTCAGCATGCCTACGATGATGGCCGTTTGGAAGACGCTTTATTGAATCATGATGATGCTGACGATGCAAGTGCGGCGATTGCCAGACTTATGAGGTGGGTATTCTATATCCTACCAAGCTTTCTTTACAAAATTTGAAGCTCTTACCTCGCTTGCTGATATGAAACTCCTGTTTATTTCCCAGGTTGTCGTACTTACTGACTCGGGTGCATGTCTAAGGAAAACTCAAACGTATCTTTGAGCAAACATGCTGAGTTGATTGGAGTTCGTTGACCAGGCAGGCAATCCTGGATTTGGCTTTGTAATGAATATTATAAAAAAATCATCCTGAAAAGAGGGCAGTCATTTCTGAAAACTCAAACGTTCAAGTCATCCAGAAGGAAGCAGTCCAAATCGTGCCACTTGGAAGCTAGCATTTCCTGTCCGGGTTGGTAGTTGATTGGTGGTTGTGACCAAACTAGCATTTCGTTTTTCCAGCTCAGTCGTTAAATTTTTTTGAGATTGCTTCCGGAAGTTTGAAACGAGTTTACGCAAATGCTCTGTAATTGAAGACTGGAGAAATGTCATCGTTCTGCAGAGCTGCTCGCCTGCTACTGCTATGGCGCGTGGAACTAAGTTCAGTTAAACCTGCCTATGGGTATTCTTTACCACGATATAAATATTTCGTCGTCCTCTCTTTTGGTCACCAACGCACCTGTAGCGAACATTAGACCGTTGCTCCGTTTCATATCTTTTATTATTGGGATTGAGAGGACAATATACATACACCTCTCATCAGCTTTGTTGATGGAATGTTAGATGTTTCGACGGGACGGTTGAGAGTAGATCCTTTTGGGTCGTATGACTGCAGAAAGATCTCTTGCTGGCCGTAGTTACCTAGTAGGAGTATACTCCAAAACCCAGAAGGCCAGAACTGTATGCAAGGCACATAACACAAAAGTACACTGTGTTTGTCTAGAAATGCTAGGAAGTTTTTTCTTTTCTTTTGCGAATAATGCTAGGAAAGTTTAGAACGCAAATGAACAGAACATCGTCTTTATTCATAGAACAGAAGCCTCAACACAAGGTATACATCGAACAATGCAGTATGGTACAAAAGAATAAACAATAGCACAGATCACAACGCCCACCCGGCCACCCGGGGGACAGGGACACAATCACACAGCCCATCACCGCTACTTCTAGTACAACTACTAGCTAAGACGAAGACGATCGAGCAGGGTCCAACCCGACCCCGAATCAGCAGCGACCCACCACGTCCACGGCAAGCGCTGCCTACTGCATGAGGCCACCGGCGACGAGGATGGAGAAGACGGCAGAGCAAGCCAGGGCCAGGGCCGACGCCGCGGTCCCCGCTGCGGCGCCCGTGACGGGCGCCGGCGCGGGCGGCACGCCCAGGTCCAGCTCCTGCGCCGACGCCGACGCGGCGAACAGCACGGCCACCACGGCCATGAGCAGCACCGCCGCGCGGGACGCCATCGCGAGGCGGGAACGAGGACGGCGAGAGTCCGTAGCAGCGGCGGCTAAGCTAAGCGAGGCAGAGGAGGGGAGGGGGCAGTGTGGTGAGACGGGAGCGGCATGAGCAGGCGGCCCGGGTATATAACGAGGTGGCGTGATGTTCGCGAGTCACGGTCGCGGCCGCGCAGGCACCGGGCGCTCGCGTGACCACGCGTGGGGTGTGGAGGCGCGACACGTCGGGCGCGCGGACGGCGCAGGTGGCGCGGCGCGAGGGGGTCTGTCTGGGCGGCTGGGTCTCGGCGCGCGCACGCGAACGCGATTCCATCCCACCACACCACACCGACCTCGGGTCTGGGTGACGCCCACGGCCCAACCGGCGTTGATTGGCGCGCGCGCAACCGCGACGCGTCCGCCGCACGACGCCACCGCCGACAGACCGGCTACGCGACCGATCGACATGGTAGGCAACGTCACGAATGCGGTACATGTACGCCGTCGCGTACGTCACGTCACCCTCAGCACACCCGTAATTGGCAACGAGTAAAAGCAAAATTAGTAAGGTGGTGATATATATCAGCCTGTTCGGTTGGTTGATTCATATCATTCTTTGGGCTAAAATTAGTAAGGTGGTGATATATATCACCGCTCGATTGGTTTGTGTCGAGAGAAAAAAAAATCGGTTTGTGTGAGAAAATCTTTTACGATCGAAAATTTACGATCGTTTATGATAAGCCATAGCCAAACGAATAAGCCGATAAGCTGGGTGCATAGGTTATCACATTTCACATCAGATTCATGCTGGGACGCAGGAGATAAAGAGAGAAACAAGCAGCCTGCAAAGTGCAAACTCGTAGCTTAATGTGAAACCAACGGAAATGCTAAACACCACTCGGGTGTTTTAGCAGCTCTGGGCGCGGGATGTTTGCGCCGTCGGATCTGCGTACTGATATAACACTAGCGTATAAGAGTATCTCTAAATCTCTTCTTAAATGCTAGGAATAAAGATTTTTATAAAATCTCTACTCTTGAACAACTTTTCTAAATGGTTGTCAAAATATAGCCATCTTCTATTCCGATTTTTCGCTAGCTAAAAATAGAAGACGAGAATGACTCTTTAGAGTGTGCATGAGATATAGAAAAGCTATTGAAGAATGAAAAATATAAAAAATAATTTTTATACAAATGACTTTCTAAATAATGATTTAGATAATAAAATTTAGAAAGGTTCTTGGAGATGCTCTAACTAGCTCAATTATTGACCGTGCCCTCTCTAAGCACTAATACTCGCCATGAGCGTTCATTTTTTCCCTTGATAAGCATGAACGCTCGTGTTGATTGTTCCTTCTTGCCGACTAGTATGCCTACGTTGCGTATTGCCTAGGTTGCTCAGGGGTCAATGACAGCTGCCGTACACGTACACTCCGGTACGTGCGCGCGTGCAGGCGTACACCTGCGCAGGGCCAGTCGGACGCAGTAAAGACAGCGCACATGCGGTGTAGGGTGACGTACGTGACCGGCTACGGGCGTCGGGCGGCAACAGGGCCACGTACCGTAGGTCTCGTTACAAAAGTCTTCACGGTTGTTACTTCACCAACGCTTTGGTTGCAATGCAAGCGCGGTATCCGCCGGGCGTGCCGTGGAAGACGGCAGGTATATACGGAGCATGTGGTATATGTTCATCGACAGGGACCGAGAGGGATCGGAGATCAACCAAATCAACTCACGTTTCCCTAGTTTGCAGCTTCCAACCAAGCTAGCCGGTCGGAAAAAATGGCCAAACGGGAACCTTCTAGGCGCACCTGAAGAAGAGTTTAAGGCCGATCTGGCAGAATTTCCGATGAAATGTATGCATTTTCTGTGCCTACGCCACCGGCTTCCATGGATACGTGCGTACTGAACTCATCTCCCTCTGGCCTCTCCCTACCACACACGCCGGAGCGGATCACGGTGTTCCAGAACGTAAGGGCGTGCGTGTCCGGTACTCCGGTGTGTTGGACTGTTGGTAGTAGGAGCACGAACAAAGAGGCCAGCCGCATCATTGTGGCGGCAAGCGATGCGAGAGCGTGAGCGTGGGAGTCAGATCGGCGCCGTCTGCGTTGCGCGCGGTACGGAGGGGATGGAACGAAAGGGAGGCCTCAGCTGCAGGCAGAGAAGCCGTCCGCCTCAACAGTCGCCATGCATGCCAGTGGCGAGCCAGCGAAACCGGCGGCATTCTTTCCCATTCCTCTACGGCTCCCCTCGGTATAGTCGGTCGGTGTGTGTGGTGGATGCATGAATCTCCTAGCGCGCGGAGGTGTCATGTCCCCGTCGCCGGAGCGCTGAAATGATGGGTTTTTTCTGAACCCGATCGGTTCAGAGCTCAGATTCAGAGTTCGGATGTCACAAGAGCCTCTGAGGCTCTGAACTTGTTCGGTCACAAAGCGTTCTTCCACCACTACTGCCAGAGTACGTCAGAGATCTATTGGTTCTGGGTTGGCTGTGTAGTCCATTAGTGTTATGATTAATTAGAGATAAGGATCGCTTACTTAAGGTTCAAGTAAGTCTTGCTTGGGAGTCAAGTAAACCTCTCTATATAAGGAGAGGAGATGTATCGATCTAATCAAGCAAGAATTAAGAAGAAAATCCCTTCCCGCTTGCTCGCCGTGTGGGCAAGGCCCCCGGCCGGCCTCCAGCACCATCCTCGCAACCCTAGCCATGAACAGTACCCGTGGTACTGTAGCCACATATCAGCGCGCCGCCATTGGGCGCGCTGGCGTCCTCAGGGACGATCGCACCCTCTGCCCTGACGCCGTCGTCTCCCGCCGCCCTCGTCCTCACCCTGGAGCAGATGACGGCCGTAATCCTGGAATTACGACAGGCTGTGGCGGGCATCAGGGCCTTCCTCGCCGCGACCACGGCGCCGGTCATCTCGTACCAGTATGGGATGCCCTACGACGGGACTGCGACGACCTCGTTCCCAGCCGTGCCACTGCCGTCCCAGGGCGTTCCCATCCAGCAGATCCAGTTCCCGCCGACGACAGTCGTCTCCATAATCGGCGCCCAGCAGATCCCAGTCACGGGCGAGAAGTTGCAGCAGATCGAACAGCCGATGGACATCGCGATGACGTCGGCGAGGAAGATGCTTACCCGCCAGGTGTCGGCTACGGTGCGGCTGCAGACTGCTACGCGTGGCCTCCTAGCACGTCGGCGGGTGCGGGAGATGCGCGATCTGTAGCTAATTCAGCCCTGCACTCCTTCGCAGCTCCTCCAAGTTGCGCTTCGCTGCGCGGAGGACCTCGATCTCGTCCGCTGTGTCGGGGATCTCGGCCATGCGGTTTCCCCCACGGGCGGCGGGCATGCTATTTTCCCCGCGGACGGCGGTTGGGGAGGCGCATCCCTCCACCTCGTTCTCCATCGAAAGCCCTCCGCTCTTCTCTGTGCGGTGCAGACCAGCAGCCGTCTGGCGGGGAGAAGACGTGGGGTCACCAGCAAGAGTGCACCGCGTAGCGCCGTCGCATGGTCGCTGTTGCGATCACTTCCAGGTGGCCATACACATGCACCCCTTTCGTCTAGATGGTGTCCATGGGATCCAGGAGGCTGTACACATGCAGGTTTGGCATGCGGATAGTGTCCACCTTATGTTCAGGAGTCAAAAATAAAGAGTCCCAGTCCATGTCAGGTTGAGAATAATAAAATAAGCCAAGATGTAAAAGACTTGTTTTTAGGTGTTATGAGTCGAGTCAGCGTTATAAGTTCGTTAGGTTGCAGCTCGAGGACGAGCTGCATGTCCAGGTGGGGTGTAGTGTTAGAGTAAAGGACCTATTAGGCCTGGGTTGGCTGTATAGACTATTAGTGTTAGAGTTAATTAGAGATAAGGGTCGCTTACTTAAGGGTCAAGTAAGCCTTGCTTGGGAGTCAAGTAAACCTCTCTATATAAAGAGAGGAGATATATCAATCTAATCAAGTAAGAATTAAAAAGAAAATCTCTTCCCTCTTGCTCGGCCGTAAGCAAGACCCCCGGCCGGCCTCCAGCACCATCCTCGCACACTAGGCGTGAACAGTACCCGCGGTACTGTAGCGCGCGGGTACTGTAGCCCGCCCGCCGCCGCCTCTCCCTCGGCGCGCGCTCTCTCTCTCTCTCTCTCTCAGTCCTAGCCGCCACGTAACAACTACAACCGTGGATTGCTGTCGATCAAACAAGAGCTGAATCTTGCGTTTGTAAGGGAGGGTTTGAACTAGCCAGACAATTAAGATTGCTGCCTTGCTGGAGTGTCATTCGGACCGTGGAACACAGGGACCTTTGTCAGTTGCCGCAACAGTTCTTCTGCGGTTGAGCTCGTTCGCAGCGATTAGACAATTCATCTGCCATGATAACAGGATTCCGGGTTAACAATTGATCGCCCATAGCGTCGTTAGGTGGCTACCTAATGCTTGGAGTTCATACCAAATATTCTGCTTGAGTGCTTGTGTATTCTCTTTCATGCTGGACAGATGATTTAGGAATCTTATGAGCTAGCAACCCAACCACATGAATGGTATGAGCAGCTGATGTGGGATTTTTTTTGTTGAATTTAACTGCACTTGTCTCATTGTTTTCCAATTAAATCAATAAATCCCAACACACATGTCTCATGCTAGGAGTCATGTGCTTTAATCTGAGCTTTGCTTTGATCGAGGTGATGCCCTGCACATATGGCTACCGGCACTCTAGGGTATATTCACTGGCTCTTCAGTTAGAACACACGACATCACATAGTTTAATGCTATATATTTGCCGTTTTTTGTTACGATTAATGTCATGATTTATCTACTATTACCCTATTCGCTTGGCTGATAAGCCATGACTGAAAGTACCGTTGGCTGATTTGTTGTGAGAGAAAAATATTGTTCGTTGGCTGAAAAAATACGACTTATAAGCCAAGCAAACAGGGCATATACTTGCGTGGATTAAAATAAACTGAAGAATATTCACATATCTGCTCGCTCCGTTTCAAAAAAAAAAGTGTTTATTCTTTTGTGCTAAGGTTGACAGCTTACAAAAACCAATTGTATTTAAGATGTCAACCGTTTCGAAACATATATTAATAATTTACTTTTCAGACGTCATATATGCTAAGACCTTTTCTTATAAACTTAGTTAACATTGAAATGGCTTTACTTAGATTATGTTTGGATCCATGGATATCCAAACAGACACATCAATTGTGAGTCCACTAATCATGAACTAGTTGTTAGTCCGTTAGTCCACATATAGGAGCTAATAAGCTAATATGACTAGTTGGTAGTCCTAAACCATCTAAACATGCCCTTAGGATAAAACCACAAACACTTTGATTCTAGGGCAGATGGAATAAGTGAATAACAACTATAGAGCCCGGGCTGCCGGTTAGTAAGATATAAGATATTTACAAGTACTAACGGCAGCCAATCATCCGGAGCCTGGTACTCCAAAATGAATCTGATGGAAGAAGTAGGAACAAGTCGACAAAAATCGATCGGTTGCAGAACTTTCAGACGCCTTCTCCTTCTCTGCCACGTGTGTTGGACCTTGTTGTCCCAGCAAACGCGAAATCATTGGCGAGAACGTGGTGCCGGGCCCGCCGGCCGCCGCCGTGGAACTTTGTTGCTTGTCGAGCCGGCGCGCCCGCGCTGGCCATGGGTCCCATGACAGAGACAGATGACACTGGTGACCGGTGGCGAGCGACTCGATCATATGAGCGGCGCCATGGCCATGAGGGCTCCGGGCTCGGATTGCATCGCCTCATTGGCTCCTTTATGCGTTGTGTCTGCATGCCACAACGAACCAAACTGCTGCTATAAGTTTCCTCCCTGTCATCGTCGCCTTACTAGTTGAAGTAGGTTGTCGATCGCTTTTCTTGGCAGCTTAACACATGTTGTACCACATGATCTACACGACTACCAATGTAAAGCGGAGCTCACGAAATGGACCAAGGGAATTTTAAACGTCCGGTCGGCAGCCTGCATTTTATTTCTGAAAATCTGAACAGCACAGCTTTCTTTTTCAATCGAGGAGCCGGCGGCCGGACTACTCGCTGATATTTTTGGAGATTATTATTGCTTATTACTTTTCGCACGATCATTCATCTTCTTGAATCTTGACTTCTTCCCCTCCCGGTGAAGACTGAATGGCCTTCTGAACCTTCTGAACAGTGTGGCGCAAGGTACCGCGCTGTTTCTCACTTTCGCTGGCCACGAAGACCAAGACGACGAACACAGCATTATTGTTAATTTGGAGGTGAGAGTGACACGCGACAAACAATTTGACAAAATCAGCCCAAATTGTTTCAGGGCTAATAACACGCGGCTAGAACACGCGAACAAACGTGCGCGCGCCCCTGCCGAGACCGAGGGACTCGTTCAAATGGTGAGACGCAAACCACACACGACACGAGCGACACGAGCACACGACCCGTTCGTTTCTTCCCCGCGAGATGACCGCCCGGCCGCTGGACCGCGCTTCGCATGCACATGCAGGCACGTAGCAGGCGCCGCCACATGGCGGCCACCGACTCGTGATCGCCCAGGATTAGCCCACTAATCCCCACTATAAATCCCCGGCCCCGCCGTGGCCTCCATCCCCAGGCAAAGCGACGGGAGCACAGAGCCAGCCAGCAGCCGAGAAGCAGCCAGCTCGCTCGCCGCGCCCGCCGCCTTCTTCCTCGCCTCCGTTCCGCCCCGACGCCGCGCCGTCTCTACGGTTGCTAAGCCGCCGCCGCATCCAGGGATGGAGATGAAGAAGATCGCCTGCGCCGTCCTCGTCGCCGCCTCGGCCACCGTGGCGCTCGCCGCGGAGGCTCCGGCTCCGGCCCCCACCAGCGGCTCCTCCGCCGTCGCACCCGCCGTCGGCGCCGCACTCGGGGCCGCCGTGGCCTCCTTCTTCGCCTACTACATCCAGTGAGCCGGCCGGCAGGCCGCCCGGAGGAGGAGGGGAGTAAGAGACGAAGGGGAGACATGGCTGCGCTGATCCCAACACGCGCGCGCATTCCGATGCGTGGGCGTGTTCTGATTCGACACGACGACACGCCTTTGTCTTCTTTTCGTTGTTCCTCTTCTTCTTAATTTAACGAATTGATGTCGCGCCAGTTTAATTTGGTGCCTTGTTATTTGTTCTTCCCTTGAGAGAGGGATCGACACTTGTACCATTGCTAGTCATTTGTTTGGATCAATTCAACAATTCGATTTAACCGTCGCGTATATATGTGCCTTGGATGAACGTTGCCCGCATGGTGATGAGGTTTTCGGTTCACGGCGTTTTGTTATGCCTTAATATGCTGAGGATGTGCTGGGCGTGTGACCCTGTATCATGCTACCAATGCTCTGCTTTTTAGCCCCTCTTCTCTTTTTTTTCACTTTTTCTTTTCTGGTGCATAAGGCAAAAAGAATTACCACACCGGCAAAGTTCATTTAGAGAAATATAGGATCAAACGATAAGCTAGAACAGCATTTTGATCAAACAAAAGGAATGGGTAATCATCTTTCTAATTAAAATGACGGTGCATGAGACGTTAGTACACACTACAGAGTAATAGCGGAATGAATGAACCTGCAAGCTGATACTGTTGCCCCCTGGAGGTCCAGGGTTAATCAAACTTCTCATTTTACAAATCCAAAATTCCTAACAGAACTGCACCGCCGCAATTTTCTGATTGCTGTAATCAGCTCGTAGAGTCGCAGTTGCGTAGTTAAATCATGCAACATGATGGATATATCCAGGGTTAATCAAACTTCTCATTTTACTCTATTGAAATTCCGAAAAGAACACGGTAATTTCTGATTGCTGTAATCAGCTCGCAGAGTCGCAGTTGCGAAGTAAAAACATGCAACATGATGGTTGTCTCCAGAATTACTGTACAATTAGTAAATGTTAGGCAGAGGACCCAAATGGCCCCGGCAGGCCCAGCTCCTTGGAGTTAAAGAAACCGCTTAACATTCCGAAATCATATGAAAACTTAAAGGAAGTAACTACCTGAAAACTCTGTACATATCTTACTGCAAATACGAGGAAAAAAAATTGAGGAGCAAAGCAACTTTTCAGCCGGCTTATCAGCTAAAAGCTACGGTATTTTTCTCTCATAATAAAACAGTTTCAGCCGACTTATCAGCCGACTTTAATACCAGCCGAAGAGAGCCCTCAGGGCAAGGCCAACGCGTCTTCAAAAAGTTATAAGCCTCACAAAAAAGTAGATGTGCAGGTAGGTAGGTATCATGCTCTGACACCTACGGTCTTTCCTCGAAATGTCAACTGGAAATTCCCCGTCGGGGGTTACTGCCCCATCCCTGTCCCCGCGGGGGCAAATTTCCCCCGTCCCCGTTCCCGTAAAGGCTCAAGGGGAGCACTTCTTCCCCATCCCCGTCCCCGCTCGGGGATTTAATCCCCGCGGGGATCCCCATCCCCGCATCAACTGCACACCCACGCTGCTACCATCCTGGATCCGCACCTGGACGCGCCGCCGCCAACGAATCCGCACCTAGAGGCACCATCGGTGGAGCCCATGCAGCCGGATCTGGTGGAGGCAGTGGAGGTCAAGCAACGCCGCCGCCGCTTGCTGTATCGGGCGCGTGTGCCCCCCGCTGCTGGATCCGCTCCTCGCGCTGGATTTGCCTCCTCGCCGTAGATCCGCCGCCTCCATTGCTGGTGCGCCCTCCGCGCTAGGGCCTCCGCTTCCAGGGGCCTCTGCCGCACCGTCGATGGGCTCGGGAGGGAGCTGCGCCGCAGGAGGGAGATCGAGGGGCGGCGAGGCCGCGCCATTGACAGGATCCGGAGGGAGCTGCGCCGCAGGAAGGAGGATGGGCTCGGGAGAGAGCCGTGCGCCTGTGTCGTCGGAGAGAGAGGGGCAGCCTTGGGAGGGAGGGAACGAATGGAAAGGATAAGGTTATGATTACAAATTGCCTTATATATGTACACAGGAATTGAGCCTTATCAGATGTGCCTTAAATATTTTGGGTCCCCGCGGGGAACGGGGATGGGGGCATGTATACCATCCCCGCCCCCGTTATACCCGATGGGGATGATTTTTTCCCCATTTAATTCTTCATGGGAAGAAGATTTGTACCATCCCGTCCCCTAATGGGTGAATTTCCCGCGGGGAATCAGGGAACGGGCCTGTTGACATCTTTAGTCTTTCCAGTGGAGGCTACTAGTCCTGCCACGTTACTCTGTGCATTTGCAGGAAATAACTTTTCAGCTTTTCAGCGATTCATCAGGCTGTTTGTCAGCTCTCCGTTCTCTCCGTCTTCACAGCGCGCGCTCCAGCAGGTGCTTCGTGCTTTTGTCAGATCAAGCCGCCGCTGCCTCTGCAGGCCACTCTGACCACCTGCGAGGATACAAGCCGGCCTGATCTGGATACACGGTGCATACGTGGCACTTGAGACCACCATCCATGGTGTAGCGTTGGGCACGGCCTTAGATCCATCAACTGCTAAAAGAATTGGAAACGAATACAGACCTGTCGCCAAAGACAAGCAGATAAGCATCTAACTACAGCATCGACATTCCAGGCCATCTTACTTTGCAACTTGCACGCACCGGAAAGGTTTAAGCTAAAAAAAGAAGGCTCCAGAAAGGCTGCAAACTTGCATCCCCAAGTGGCCAGCAACACTTAACTTTGTGTGATGTTTCTAAACATTAGTGGAAGTACCATGTGACTATGCGAGGGCAATGGCGGCAAGTGATTTCTAAGCTTCACTTCAGAGAAAGACTGACACAGCAACAATGTAGCATAGCACCAACTTCTTTCAGACGTAAATTACATGTTATTTCAGGCATCCATGCCGGAATTACCAGCTGGAAAGGAACAAAGCACATCCACCCAGCACACGAAGGATCAATCCATACATGCGAAAGAATGAAAGATTAGGTGTGTGGTCTGCATATTGAACAGACATTAAGCTGAGAAGGGCCGACACTGAACAAAAAATGAGTCACTTTTAAGGGACCAGCCGCCACACCTCTCAAGCTCACAGCAACACCTTGGCCTTGCAAGGTCAAGAATGTTACATCAATAACATAAGGATTTCCCCATCCTGGTGCAGGAAAAAGAACATAAGCAATCGCCCTGTTCGCTTGGCTTATAAGCCGTACTTTTTCAGCCAATGAACAGTATTTTTCTCTCACAACAAATCAGCCAACAGTACTTTCAGCCATGGCTTATCAGCCAAGCAAACAGGACGGCTAGCAGCACCAAACAAGGGTTGAAGAACCACATGCTGACACGCAGTGCCGAACTGCTGATGGTTCAGGATTGCATCCTTCCTTGAGTGAAAAGAGACCTGAAACTTAGTGGAATCTGAAGGTGATTGAGAGTGATATGTGTGATCCTTCCATTGCAGGTACCTATTTATAATGGAGAAAAAGAGCACCAATAATTGGCAACTATTATACAGTTTCTGAGATGAAGGCTAATTTATCTATCTAGCAGCTAATGCCTATCTTTTGGTGATGGCAATGCTGCCGGCGAATCTGCACTATCCAAAAGCATCAAGACAAGCTATCAAACAGTGTACTTCAGATGAAACATAAGGGCTACATACCTAGCTAACTGAGAATGTCGAGTGCATATCCTGTACAAAACATTTTTCCTTGACCTAAGCTGAGCTTATCCTCTCTGTCCTGAAAAATTGTGGATTTTCAGTTGTCCTAAGTCAAACGATTCTAAGTTTGACAAAGTTTATAGCAAAGAACAATCATATTTACGATATCAAATGAGCACTGCTAGATATATTATGAAATGTATTTTCATAATATATGTCATTGATATGGTACTTGCTATTACTTTTGTCTACAAACTTGGTCAAATTTAGAATGGTTTGACTAAGGACAACTGAAAATCCATTATATTTCAAGGCTGAGGGAGTACAAGGTCACAGTGCAGTGTACTCTGGTAATCAGGATTGCTTTCTAGAAACCATGGACATCTGTAAATCTGTAATGGCCTTTCATAGAACCACAGGGTTCTTTCTATATCCCACCATTCTCAGGCAATCAGGCACCACAGACCAGTAAAAGGGGACATGACAATTGGAGATCTTAAAATGAAATATTGCTCTTCGGAGACAACAGGAAGCGACAGATCCCTGTGTTAAAGAATTAATAAAAGATCAAGAGCACAGCTTTTCATGGTCCACTAGTGTTATACTATCATATCATAGTGTCACGTATAAACTACATAAAGCATGACCACGATTATACAGCTCAGCTATTTTCAAAAGCAATTAGGAAAAGTATCCAACTGCTTAGTTCATGTCAATATCATAACAGACCAGTACAGTCAAAATAATAGACAACATAATCCATCCATGTTGTTATCCCTACATGTTAACAAGGAACTTGGTTAAAAAAACTATCTGAATTTTGTTAGCACACTCGCAGAGGACCAAATTGAAATGTCTACTGTACTGGGTGCAGTTAGACAAGAACTCACCTATAATCACTTCATAAACATATAATATCACAAAGGGGTTATTTGGTTAGATTCATCAAATGATTCACAAATCACTAATTGCTATAAGAGACTCATGCAGGAGGTAAGCTAAAACTATAGGATATCTGATCAATAATTCATCAATTTGGAGTTAACTTGTCTAAGTTTCAAGAAAACTCACATATATTCAACAGAAGACAAACAAATAACACGTTCAAACAGGATACAAACAGATCTTGACTGCCAATTTTGGACAAAGAATAACCAAGGCACGATAGAAACATGGTACTTTTGAACATAGATAAATACAAAGGTGAATTAGAATAGAGGATACAGCAAGTGGATGAATACCGTACTACCAACAAAAGGTCTAGCTTTTGATAGAGATGAGTCTTAAATATCCAAGTGAAGTTCTGGTTTAAAATTGATACTAAAGCTGATTGCAGAAGAATTTGTGATACTCCACATCATTTAAATGTTTATGAGATGTTAGATTATCATATCAGGACCATACATGCCCTCTCCTTCTAAATCTTGCAAAAGTCAGGATTAAATTAAAGAGGGGAAAGAGATTCCACAAGGCCACAACAATTTATAATACATACTGGTTGAGGACAACATGCAACGATCTCATTGCTAAAAATATAGTATAGTAGATTATAAGTGTCTAACTAGATAATTAGACAATCATCACAAAGGATAATAGAAATTTGGTTAAACTATTGAAAGATTATTACAACCATTTTTTCATACAATTTCAATCAAGGTAATTGTTGCAATAAAGCACAGGTCGTTCTCTAGTTGGCTGCCATTATCGTATTTGATACACTGTTATTTCCAATTTACTCTATTTGACAAATTGTAAGAAACTACTTAATCCATGTCACATAAGCCAACCCTGAAGAAAACATCCGATCATATCAGAGTTCTGAACTGAGCCCATAACTAGACTGCCAATCACAAAGGTATCAAAACACAGTTCATTCTGATCTCAATATTGACTGAATCAGCTACAGTATTCTTATAGCATAAGGCGATAATACAACCTTGCCAAATCACAATGAATCCAAAACACAGTTCAGTGACAAGAGGGAAGCATCAATAAAGAAATGTGGTTGTAGCCAAGTTATTAACAAACAGGATATCAGCATGGAGCTGGTTCATTTAAAAGGAAGATGCTAATTTTACCAATTGGTTTGATAAGCTGGAGAGTAACATCATTGTACTTGTACCAGAAATATCTCAAACAATCACATTGTGATCTCCCTCTCTCTCTCTCTCTCTCTCTCTCTCTCTCTCTCTGGTGTACAATCACCAAAACTAAGCAGGATCCAACATCCAAAAGTGTAAGATTGGTGTACAATGCGTGGATGTATTGCTTGAGCCCCTTGGGCTGATTATATAGGAGTACATGACTTGGAGGGCAAGTAGCCTCTCCTAGAGATAAGGAAGGTTATCCCAGGATTACAATCAATCCTAAACTAACCATATCCGGAGTTGCCTAATATACTCTAACATCCCCCCACAGTCACAACGGGAGCGCGCAGACGATGCGACTCGAGAATAAGCCGAAGAGATGACATCCCCCGCAATGCATAATCGCCGATGTGCCGCAGATGTTGTGGCTGGAATGGGAGCCAAGAGGCTTGTCAAGCGATGGTAGCCCCTTAGTGCCGGGCAGCCGAGGTCGAGGTGGACGTGATCGAAGCCGTGGAGGAGGCGCGCGGGTCCGCGCCGTCGTGCGCGCTCAATACACAAAATCAGCAGCTTCTTGCCGGCTGTGGTCAGCAGGGACGATAGGCCGATGCGATGGTAGATGGTGCAGCTAAAGAGCGCAACTGCATCTTCCTTCAACAATATCGACGGCGGTGTCCGCGAGCGTGTGGCAATAGGCGCGGACTCGGACCGAGAGCCAGCGTGACGAGGACCAGCAGCATGGGTGGCGCCACCGCCTGAAAAGGCGGCGTCGCCGACGAGGATGGCTGGATCATGAGCGTTGTCGCAGCAGCCTGAAGGGCACAACGACAACCTCGTCTTCGGCGATGACGAACGGCAGGGCGACGCAACCCGATCTCTGATCGGGAAAAAGAAAAAAAACAGCAGCAGCAAGACGAACCTTGGGGTACAATCTCGATGCCCCTAGCGGTGTTTCCCATCCCTCCCTTATCTCTTCCCGCTTCAACACGGACAAAGGGAATAGAAATCGTGGATTGGGAGGAACCGGCCGCCCAAATCGGAAAAGCGGCGGCGGGCGGATGATGCGAAAGCCCCACGCGGCGACAACCCGCCAACGTGGCGGAGCGGCGCTGATGGAAGGCACGGGGTGGAGCGGGCCAGGCGAGGCACCACAACCCGGCGACAACGAGACGACGTGGCCGGGCCGCCGCCCGCCGCGGCTCAACAACGACGATCGCAGCGCGCGCGCTGCTAGACCGGCGAGGGAGGGGCGTTGCGCGACCGTCGGACGCCCCAGATGGGCGCTGGCCGCCGGCTCAGCCCCTTACTGATTTCTCCACAACGTGCACTCGCGCTCAAGTGCGCAGCAGATCGTGCTCAAGGGCAACGGTGGTGGCGGCGGCGACCGAGAAAGTAGATGGGGACGCAAGGCGAGGCCTTTCGACACGGCGGTGAAGACGGCGGGCACTTTTCGCGGCGGATCTGGCGGCGATGGGAGAGGTAGGTCCTTCTGTTGTTGGTTGACCACGACGGCGCGACGGATCAGAAGGATCGGTCGCGCATCCTACGAGGGCGCTGCCCCCGGTGGAGATCGATCTCCCCGGGGGCGGCTCGAGGGCAGCGGAAGCCGGAAGCCGAGGGTTAGAACCTAGACTCGTGATACCATGTAAGATTGGTGTATAATGCGTGGATGTATTGCTTGAGCCCCTTGGGCTAATTATATAGGAGTACATGGCTTGGAGGGCAAGTAGCCTCTCCTAGAGATAAGGAAGGTTATCCCAGGATTACAATCAATCCTAAACTAACCATATCCGGAGTTGCCTAATATACTCTAACAAAAAGCACCAAAATGTCATAGTTCCTAGTCTACTTCATAAAGGAATGAGAACGCAATAACACATCCAATCATATCAGAGTTCTGAACTGAGCACACAACTAGACTGCCAATCACAAAGGTACGAGAACACAGTTCATCCTGATCTCAGTATCAATTGAATCAGCTACAGTAATCTTCTAGCGTAAGGTGATAATACAACCTTGCCAAACCACCAATGAATCCAAAACACAGTTCAGTGGCAAGAGGGAAGTCGCGATAAAGAATTGTGGTTGTAGCCATTAGCCAAGTTACTAACAAACAAGATATCAGCATGGAGCTGGTTCACTTAAAAGGAAGATGCTAAATTTTACCAATTGGTTCGATATTCCTTTTAAAAAAATCATTTCAAAAAACAATTGGTTCGATAAGCTGGAGAGTAATGTCTCAAACAACCACATTGTAATCTCCTCTCTCTCTCTCGTGTGCAATCACCAAAACCAAGCACGATCCAACATCCAAAAGAACCAAAATGTCATAGTTCCTAGTCTACTTGAATATTACCAGCGCATTTTTATTCCTTAGATACTGAAAACTAACTATCCTTCCCGCAGAGATCTGAACTTAAAATCATCGCATCAACACAGCAGCAACTGACGCGACAGACACTCCCAGAGCGCAAGAGATGGCCATCACCCGCGTCCGCAGCAGCATGAGGTTAACGTTCTTCATAGCCTGGAGGCACAGAGTGAGCACCTGCAGCCTCGCGTTGGCCTCCATCTTTTGGAAGAAGGCGATGGGCTTGATGGCGCGGCGCAGCACCAGGGCGACCGCGAAGGGGAACCCGAACGCCGCCACGCCCTGCACCGCCGCGGCGGAACCGACACCGAGCGGAGGGGTACCGTACGCGATCCACGCGCCGGCCGCGAGGTGCGCCCCTCCGAGGAGCGCGAGCGAGCCGCTGAGGCGCTGCACGGTGCGGCGGAGCGCGTCGAGCTCCCGCCGCGTCTCGTCGGCCAGCGGCGACGTGTCGCGCTCCACCGTGGGGCCCTCGATCTCCTGGTGCCGCATCTCATCAGGCGACACGGGCGCGGATGGGGCGCCCTGGCTGGGCTCCGACGGCGCGGAGGAGGAGGGGTTGGGGCTGGGGTTTGAGGACGCGGAGAAGAAGCGGCGGCCGGGATTCAGGAGTATGAAGGGGTCGCGGCCATGGGCGAATGTCTTAGGGGTGGGGAGATGCGCGGCGGCAGCGGCAGCCGTTGGACTCAGGAGGCGGCGGGAGAGGTGCGAGAGCGCCATCGGAGCCTGACGAGGAAAGGTCGCGCCGTCGCGGTGGGCGCTGCCGTCTGCTCGCCTGATTCGGATTTCTGAGAAGTACTACTATTTTCTCCCGTTTCCCAAGTCAATGAGTAAAGGCGTAGGAGCGTCTCCAACGTTACCCAATATTTTCTTTCAAAAACACGAAATTTTACAACTCCTAAATAAGTATTGGTCAAGAGTTTTTAATAATCCTCTTCTAAAATATTGATCATGTTCGTTTCTTTTATAATCCGTACTTTTTAGCTTGTTTTTTAGTCGAAACAGTATTTTTCTCTCACAACAAATTAGTCGAAACAATATTTTGTCTTGTTTTTTCAGCGAATCGAACGAGACCATAAAAGACAATTTTACATCATGAATCATATATTAATTTTAAATTATTCAAACCACTTTTATATATTCTTTTGATCTTGTACATTTACATCAGGAACTATTTTCTACTCTTTATTCTTTTCACGCCCTTGCACCTTTAGATTGGCTGATAAACACACGTCAGAGAGAAAATACGCACGACTCGAAAGCTTAATCTTACGCCGAACAGGGTGACTTTTTACAAGTCTAAAAGATTAGATTAGGAGAATGTATTAAGAGTTGTTAGAGAGAGAGGTTTTTTCTTATCTTACTAAGGGCATGTTGGGTTCCGGTGATTCACGTACCGGAACCGTTATGACCAGGAACGCTTATTTAATTTCTATACACCAGACTTCACCCGCATTCATTCCAGATAGGAATGACTCCAAATCAATGAGCCTGAAAGACCAACTATTAGGAAGGGATTTAGGGAAGATCCTCTCAACCTGGGCCATGTTTAGTTGGAGGCCGTATTTGGCGCCGCCGGATTTGGTGTTACTGTAGCTACACTGTAGTATTTTGTTTTTATTTGGTAATAATTATCCAATCGTTGACTAATTAGGCTCAAAACGTTCGTCTCGCAAAGTACAACCAAACTGTGCAATTAGTTTTTGATTTCGTTAACATTTAGTACTTTATGTATGTACCATAAATTTGATGTGACAGAGAATCTTCTTTTTACATAGTGTCAAATTCAGGAAATCTGAGGAACTAAACAGGGCCCTGGACTACGTTTGCTCCCCTCGTATGCGTAAATGAGTTGAACTCGAAGTATGTTTTGCCAGCACACGCGGCAGCACAAGGAAACCACTACCAGGGACACGGGGGACGGAGCACGTTCGGGAGCATGTGTACCGGCACTCATGCTCGCTGGCAGGTTCGGGATGCCTTCCTCCCCAATCCAGGGGATTTAACTTTTTACCATTATAAAGATTGGCACCTCTTCAGATAGCATCTCAACGGTTGCCGCTATATTTTCACCAGCAAAAACGAAAAACAGATACAAAAATATCATTTTTGCTCAAGTGGCACGCAAGCCCTCGTGCCAGCAGGGATCCAAGTCAGCATACGGGCGTCAAATGTCTCCTGCCCCTGCTCTCTCCTTCTCCACCTCTTCCTCTCTGCCCACGCGGCGCGCATTTCATCGAACACCCTCAGGGCAAGCATTGCCACACCTCCTCGTGGACCCTGAGCAACCGGTGCGCGCCTTGAGGTCGCTTGGCGCCCAACGGCCAGTACTCCATCGGTAGGAGAAGGTCTCAGACGTCCGGAGCACGCTACATCATCATCTCTCGAGTTGACATCGAAGGGTTGGGTCGCGGGGGCAATCGGTGGCCGGTGTCAACGAGGGAACGCGAGCCGCTTTGTTGCTGATTGGTGGAGCTCGTCGAGGAGCGGGTCCCCGACGAAGAAGGGCTACGACGGCGCTCACGACGAGGGCGACGACACCGAGAGCGGTGAGGGCCCCGAAGCCCGCGTCCAAGAGGAGGCCCTGGAGGCGGTCTCGGTGATCGCCGGGAACACAATCCGGGTCCGAATGCTCAAGCGCATAGGGGGACTTGAGTCGTCGACGGTGCCATTGGTCGCGCGCCGTGGTCCGTGGTCTCTCTAAGCACGCGCGCCCGAACACCGAAGGCGGCCAAGGAGACGGCGGCAAATATATTTGGGTTGATGCTAAAATGCTCACTGATTATGGTGCTCTGCAAAGCTCACCATTTGAGTCCTTCAGAACTTCGAGAACGACAAATGCGTGGGGGAAAAGTCCGCCGTCGCTCAAGTACTTCTTCCGAAGATGTAGTTGACATGTGCTCTCGTGAGATTTTAGTGCATGGACCGCCCAACCACAAAGATCGGTTGGATCCGCCATGCCCTTGATCTACGCCCGCTCAAAATGGGATCCGCGCCACACGGAGAAGCTTGAGGGAAAGGAAGGAGCTCCTCGCAAACATTGATCCGCACCTTCCAAATCTCTCCACCCGGAGGAGGAGGAGTGGAGCGGAGGAGCTCCTCGCCACGCTAGTCGGAGAGGCGCATTTGAGGAGAGGAGGGAGGATCACCACGGGGGGGTTAGGTGTGGCGGATGTGGACCAAAAACTTGGGGAGGATTACTTGATGAGCTGCCTTTGCTTTCAAGCGCCATTCTCTCAGAGGACCGTAATTGTGAAAAAATCATTATGTGTTGACAAGGGGAGGGAGAGAGAGAGAGAGAGAGAGGGAGGGATGAGGGCGCACCATTCATAGCCTCTTAGTTATTGACAAGAAGAATGCTGCGAGAGAGAGGAGAGAGAGTGGAGGGAGAGAGGCGAGGTGGTGCCTTAATGACGAGGAGAGAGGAGAAGCCATGCCGTAAAGTTCAAATGACGAGAAGGAGAATGTCTTTTGCCTCTTGAGAGGGGGGGAGACATTTGACGCCCGTATGCTGACTTGGATCCTTATTGGCGCGAGGGCTGACGTGCCACGGAAGTATAAGTAATATTTTTTATCGATTTTCTATCTTTACTGATAAAAATATATCGACAACCGTTGATATTGGCTGTCCAACAAGGTGCCAAAGTTTATAACGGTAAAATCTCCCCCAATCCAGCGGCGGCCGCACGGCTCAGCCTCGGTCCTTAAAAAACCACCTCTCCTCATCCGCTTCCCTCTTTCCTACCTTCTCCTCTTCCACCTCCTCAGACCCTCGCCGCAAGAAAGAAGAGGTCAATCAAATCGAACCAAAACCTCCCGACCCCGCAAGGCCAAGCCCATCGCCCATCGACATGGTGGTGTACACGCAGGAGCATGTGTACCGGCACCCGTGGGACCGGGTGACGGCGGCGGCGTGGCGCAAGTTCACGGACCCGGCCTCCCGCACGGCGCTCTCCCACGTCGCCGACGTCCACACCCTCCACCGCCGCCTCGACTCCGACACGGGCCGCCTCCACGCCGCGCGCTCCATCACCGTGCGGTCCCCGCCGCTCCCTTTCATCCTCCGCCGCCTCCTCCCGTCCGCCGCGGCGTCCCCAAACGGCGCCGCGCTCTGCCACTGCGTCGAGACCTCGCTCGTGGACGCCCAGCGCCGCGCCATGGACGTCGTCGTGCGCAACGTCAGCCTCCGGGGCCTCATCGAGATCAAGGAGCGCGCCTCCTACAGGCCCCACCCGGACCGGCCCGACGACTGGACGCAGTTCAGGCAGGAGACCACGATCCGGTGCCGCCCGCTCGCGGCCCTCGCCGCCGTCGCTGAGAAGGTCGAGACCCGGTGCGCCGAGAGGTTCCTGCAGAATAGCGCCAAGGGGAGGGAGGTCGTCGAGCGGATCTGCCGGTACCTCGAGGCCGAGTCCGCCGGCGCCGCGCCCTCCGTAATCTGATCTGGTTTGCGCATCCTTACTTGATCCGAACGGATCCAAGGGTTCCTCGATCTGTGCTGTGTGCGCACGGACAAATCGAACCCCGCCTGCTAGGCGCTTGTTTTACTTTTCTTCATTTCTTGTGTATGATGAAATGATGAGCTGAATTCGGAATAGAATAAAGCTTGTGGCCATACAGCTTGTTCGCTTGTTGGTTTCAGCCAGCCCAAACCAGCCAGCCAACAGTATTTTCCTCTAAAAAAAACCAGCACTAGCATCAACCAGCGAACAGGCCCATAGACTTATTTCTTCTGTTGTCTGTGGAACCGATTTAACCCCCCTGATTTTGATCATGCTCATTGCCAAATTCTATTCTGCCAATAATTTGAAAAAGATTATATTCCGCCATGAAATCACTGGTGTTTATTGTGCTATTTCTATTGACTGAATGGTTAATGCTCATGCTTTGATTGATTAGATTTAGTAGGTGTCCTTATTCATAGAAAAGGCGAGGTCATTGATCTGTCGATTTTTGAAGCTGGTAGCTAGTTCTGTTGTTCAGACTGTCCCCTTGGTTGATTGGTAAGAATAGTATATGACATCGTGAAGTACAATGCTTTTCCTTCTTCCTTGACAGTTGAATTGCACCATTTGAGTTCCATATCTTGTACGAAGTATCTATTTAATTTTAATGGTAGATACCCCGCGTAGTTTTTTGTCATAGACTTTGGTAATTCTTATGTCTGTGGAACCATTTTGGCAACCTTGTCCCCACCCCCTCCAACACTTTGTGCTTGCTCTTGTAAATTTGAGATATTGCATTTGCATAAGCTATAAATGTCAGGGCTTTGATCTATTCAAGGCCACATGTCTGTAGGAAACAGAAAGTCTAGCAATGTGCCATTCTTGAACCTGGGTACGTACTGTTTAATGGTAGATACCCCGCATAGCATTTTGTCATAGACTTTGGTAATTCTTTTATCTGTGGAACCATTTTGACAATCTCCCCCTCCCCCTCCCCCTCCAAAATTTGAGATATTGCATAAGCTATGAATATCGGTGCTTTGATCTATTCAAGGCCATGTCTGGAGAAACCAGAAAGTAAAGCAATGTGTCCTTCTTGAAGCTGCACACAGTAGTTTTGTCTCCTTTGTGCATTTGGTTTATTGGTAAGAATGGCATGAATAATATTGTGAATAGCATTGCTTTCTAATATTACAAATCTACACTTGTAACATATCATAAGTTTCTCCATAGTTTTCTAAGTCATGTATCTATTAACTACCATAAGATTAGCCTTCTGTTGCTTCCTGGAGCCGTGGATTGCCGGGGTTATGAACTTAGATATTATAGGCTGCTTGTGCTTGTGCTATTGTGGATGAGTAGTGGGGTTCAACTACTTCAGTTAATCTACTCAGTTGGCATAAATTGAGAATTGATGTAAGCCACTACGCCAGTCATAGCTTAAGTAATTATAATAATACCTCTTCCAAATCCATTATGTGATGGTCTTAATTTTGAACAAATTTCATTAGGTGTTGTTTTCAATCATGTAAAGTCTTTGATAAGTATGGAATCTCTCTGGCCGCATGGATTTCACTTTGATGCTGTCTTGCAACCACATTTGTACTTCGTAGACCAAGCTACTGCATCCCCATGTATGATGCTTCTTTACCTGAAGCTTCAATTTTCTTCTTGCTATCTTACTCCATGGATCGTGAAGATACTTTAAATGTTTTTATTCACCATCTTTCAGAGCATAGTTCTTTAATCTTTACTACAAAGTAACAATGTGGTCGTGGGCAATTGCTAGTTCAGAAATCTGGAATGGTTTAGGCTGCCCTTATAATCTTATTCATTTGGCAGGAAATTGTGAAACAAAACATGCTGGCTTCTTACCACTATAGTCAACTGGTTTTCACTTGTTTGTTCCCTCTGAGCTTTATGGTTGCCACATCTTCCAGATTATCAAATCTGTGCGGTCTATGCTTGTTTAGAATTTCTTATTAGCCATATTTGACCCTGGCTACAATTTTTCACGAGGCCATGATCTGAAATTCAGAACACTGCTTTTATTATCACAGGGACTGCTGCTTCGTTTTCACAGTGATATGTATCAACTTTTATTACATTACATGATTTGCCACTGTTATCAACATCAGTGAACTGGTTTTGTGCGATAAACAGTTGTAAAATAAAGTAATTTCTGCAGTTGTGTAATTGTCAATGCTTCAATACTGCCTTTGGCTTGGGCGGAGTGAGGCTCTCTGGTATCTGCAGATGTGAATATGTGATTAGGCTATTGCCTGAGGCTCTCTGGTATCTCCGTATCTGCTGATGTGATTAGGGTATTGCCGTTTGCGGTCATGAGCTAATCAATAACCTTTCATTTTCTGATTCTGAAGATCGAGACCTTTTATTTTTTTTCCGATTCTGAAGACCGAGACTCGAGACTTGGCTTCGATGATATTTTTTAGTCGTCGTTTCGTCTGTCGAATGTTATCAGTACCTGCCAGGATCACAACACGCTGCGCTTTCTGTTTGGCTTCGGAGGAGTTGCAATTCGGTTAGTCAGTTTGCATAGTTCCCCGTTGCAGATGATTATAGTGCACAAAAATCTGGTCGTGTTTGTGTTACAGTTATTGTGTTGCTCTTGCTCGGTTGATGGCAACACGGCAGCTATCTGGAACTGAACTGCTTTATCAAAGCCAAACCGAAAATCTGAAAATCACGATCAACCAGCCACCGAAGCCAACGTCTCAAGAAACGAAACAACTGGGACAGCCAACTCTGGAAACAATAAATTCAGTACGCATGGGTTGGGCATGTATGTCCGCGGGTTAGTCGCAAGTAGTCAACATAGCTGTACGAGTCTAGGAGAGGCGATTCGGAAAAATAAATAAAAATAGAAGTCGAGGGCCTACCTAGATGGGCCTAATTCAGTACGCATGGGTTGGGCATGTATGTCCGCGGGGAGGCCCGAAACATTAGGTAGCCCTAACTCGCGCCGCTATAAAAGGGCGACTCTGGCGGCCGCGGTTAGGGTTCATCTCACGCCGCAACCTCCCTCGAGCCCGAGCAAAGAAGAAAGGCGGACGCGGCGCCGGCGGCGGAGCGGAGATGTCGGAGAGGAAGCGCGGCGCCGGCACCCGCAAGGATGAGGTGGTGACCCGCGAGTACACCATCAACCTCCACAAGCGCCTCCACGGATGGTAATTGCCCCCAACCTTCTCTTCCATTCCCAAGCGGTAGCAGCAGAGTACATCCGGTAGATCCGCGTGTTGGAGAGCATAGCGTTGTTGTATAGCTGCGCTGGGCTTGTATGTGATGCTGGTGCGGAGGGTTGCGGCCTGTGAGCACTATGTGGGCTTGCGAATGGTTGATACACCTGATTGGATCAAGTATCCTTTACCAGCTAGAGAACAGGCGGGATCACCTGACCTAGCGGGAATAGCTTCTAGTTGATCTTGCTCTTGTATCTGATCCCACATTTATCTCGTGTTTGACTTCTTGTTTTGCTCTGTGAGTAGTAGTGGCATGTGTCGTCTTGTTTTTGTGGGTGCCGTTCGATTAGGTGCTACTCGGGTATAGTCAGGTGTCTGCCTTATTTCTTTGGCTGAACACAGTTACATGCCCGGGATATGCAATCTGCTCATCGTTACACGTATTGCTTATCGTAATGCTACTATGTGTTCCATTTGGGCAGTATATTTTTCTCCCATAATACCCTTTGTAGTTTCATTGGGTCGTAGTATTTATTTGAAGTTGTATGATACAGTAATATGTTATTGTCCGGTCATAGTCAGGTATCTGTCTTATACAATGGTTGATACAGTTACATGACTGGTACACAGATGTCACTCATCGCTACTCATGTCGCCTGCACTTGCTGTCATGTGTTACATCTGAGTGCTACATCCATTTATGAGTGCTCTATATTGCTCTTGTATAATTTTGTCCACTGTAGGTTAGAAATGCCATGTGACCCAATAATATGGGTGAAATGTATTGTCCGGACATAGTCAGGTATCTGTCGAATGCAGTGCTTTGGTTGATACAGTTACATGTCCGGTAGAAAGACGTCATTCATCGTTACACATGTTGTCTTTACATGCTGTCATGTGTTCCATTTGGGTGCTACATGCATGTTGCAGAAGTACAATATCTTGATGTTCCATTTATTATTTTATTGAATCTCATTTGAACACTCAATTTTTTATCATATGCTTTATTGCTAAATTGATCTGTCAGTTTAAAGATCACTAATCAATCTACAATTGTATACAGCACCTTCAAGAAGAAGGCACCAAATGCCATCAAGGAGATCAGGAAGTTCGCTCAGAAGGCCATGGGTACTACTGATGTCAGGATCGATGTGAAACTCAACAAGCACATCTGGAGCAGTGGTATCCGGAGTGTGCCGAGGAGAGTACGTGTCAGAATTGCCCGCAAGAGGAACGACGAGGAAGACGCTAAGGAGGAACTCTACTCTCTGGTCACAGTTGCTGAGATTCCTCCGGAGGGTCTCAAAGGTTTGGGAACTAAGGTTGTTGAGGATGAGGATTAAGTCCTCGATGGATTCAATCATCTAGCACTAATGCATTCCATGAGAGCAAATTTAAGAATGCTGCTTCAGATTATTGTTATCTACTGCCGATGACTTATGTAATAGAAGATTCGAGACTTTGCTCCTTTCAAGTGCTTGAAATTTTGACTACTTTGCCTATCTGGTATCTACTCCGTACATGGCATCCTGCATATTCCCTGGCTGCCTGTCAATCTGTGATTGTACAACCTATTGTGGCCATCTGTGTTTCGAATTGTTGATGCAAATAGTAGTGCCATCGGTTTGTGCAATCGGTTTTTATGTCCGTTCTTCCTAAATCACCTGTTTGTTTGAAGCGTCACTATTCGTTACAAGTAAATAGTAGTGCCATAACAGGTGGCACATGCCATGCCACGGCCAGGCATACGAATCTGATGATCCACTGCTAGACACTCCTGTTTGGTTTGTGGAGCAGCCCCCTCCGGCATCAGTACACGTCGTCCGACTGTTTCCGCTGGAATCGAGCCTGTTTGGTTGCATCGGTACATGCATCATGCTGTCGTCCGACTGTTTCCGCTGGAATCGATTGATGCCGCGCTGGTGACGGACGGACTGGTTTGGTGGGGCAAACCAAACAACATGTTTAGGCTCCGACGTAAGATCGGATGCTTCCGTATTGTGACTCCGTGATCCAAACATTCTATAACATTTGTGTTTAGGCTTGGACGTAGGGTCGGATGCTTCCGAATTGTGACTCCGTGATCCAAACATTCTATAACATTTGTGATCTGACGAACCACAGCTAGACATATCAGCCTGGTTTATTAGACATGGTACAATATTTTTCTCTCACAACAAATCAGCGAACGGTACTTTTCAGCATGGCTTTTTAACGAAACGAATAGCCCCATTAACATCTGATCTGATGATCCACGGCCAGGCATATTAACATCTGAACTGATGATGCAAACAGGAACAAAGGTGGGGAGCATTTTCATAATGGCCTCGTAAAAACATAATAGGAAGACAAGAAAAATAAACATGAACACTTATTTGTCCTTATAAAGAATTAATGCAGCTCTAAGGAAGCTTCTCAATTGTCAAAAACATCAGCCAAAAATCACGGCACATTTAGAAGGGATCTTTGAGCAGCGCATATGCCCAACACTCCTTAGCAATGAATCTGTGACAGAAGTGAAATGAACCGTAAGATCTAAAAAATAACTGAGGCAACAAAGTAACTGTAGCAGAATAGAGCAGAACTTTCCATATCTCATTCTTGATAATTGAATAATGACATATGAAGTTCGTTCAAAGAAAAAAAATGACATGAAGATGATGTTGTCAATTCCTATTAGCGCAGAACAATGCTGCATCTGAACCTTGCAACAACTCTAGGAAGCAGAACAGAAACACTCGTGTAACACAGCAATGCTATATTGACACATGAGTTTGGCAAAGGATGACAACAACTCAATTGCTGACTCCATAGCTTGAAATAAAATCTCAAGGCATCAGTCGCCATATATGACAGGATGTTGGGATGCATTCTCCCTAGTCACAACTCACAACTTCATATATGAAAGGATGTAGGGATAATGGGATGCATGTCTAGTGGTACATGAGTTACTCCCTACGGTCACAACTGATGATATTTTGGACAGCTAGTTAGTAAGTTAGACCTGCAATTAGCTACAATTTCCTGTTGGAAACGTCAACTATATCTGTCTGCCGGTAGTATAATGGTAAACTAGCAAGAAGCTTAGGGGTGGCCATATTTAAATATTGGTCAAAAGTGATTAACAAGTATTGCATGTAAATAAAGAGCATATATAAGAAAGTACATATGATTGTACTGCACCAAACATCTCAACCAGTTCGATTTTGAACCCAAAACACAAGCTTAGTACTGAAGGTCATCTTCCAACACCAACTAGTGTAGCTCTTCACACAGAGCTACCTGCAGCAAACCAAGATGACTACAGATAAGAAATGTTATGCACTTACTGTTTGGAGTGTTTGTGCTTTTGGTTCAAATGCATTTGAGTCTTGTAGGCTTTTGCCAGTTTATTTGCCAACGAACAACTACAGCATTTCGTTCAGCACTTTATCAGAGGAGTAATACCAACGCATAGTAAGTACCTCTGGATCAGTCGATCAGAACTCAGAAGTAGACGGCCATCTGAACACCCTTCTCCACGAATCCGCACCTGGCGTAGTAGGCACGCAGCTCGGGGGTGCAGTCGAGTATGACCTTGTAGCAGCCGGCGTCCCTGGCGATCTCCACGAGGCGGCGCACGACGCGGAGCCCGAGACCCCTGCCGCGCGCGGCAGCATCGACCACCACGTCCTCCACGTGCCCCACCTTGCCGCCGCCTCGAAGGAACTTACGCTCCACGAAGAGGCACCCTGTCGCGAGGATCCGCCGGTCCGAGGCGGAGGGGTCCTCGGCCACGAGGATGACGTGGTCGTCGCCCTGCGCCGCGAGCTCGGCGAAGCGCGTGGCGAACTCGGAAGCGGTGAGGTCCGGGCAGGCGGAGAGCTGGGAGAGAAGGGCAACGAAGCCCCTCTCGTGGTCGGAAAGCTCTAGGCGACGGATATGGATGGGATCGTTCGTTTCGCCGGCGGCGGCGGGTTCCGGCGAGGTGGATGCCATTTGGGTCCGCAAGCTTTGGGTGGGCCGTGGTTCAGGTTTGGGATTTTTTTTTTTGAAACTGGTTTGGGAATCTTCTGTTTGTGTGCACCGCAATCAGGAAGTTTTTGATAACTGGATTGCGCTTCACTCTCACAACTACAATATCAAACTCTTCATTCTATCTACTATTTTGTGGGGGATTTGGAATATAAGGAACAAAATGTGTATTCAACAGATCTCTTTGGGGTCATCAAAAGAGATTTTTTACAAGAAATGGAGATTATTTTTTAAGGCGGGCGACGTCAAGTTTCTGGAGGATTTGCTGGGAAGAATGAAATCCTGGCTACTGAACTTTTGGCAACGAACTGAAACGCTCGAAGTTGAGGGTCTGATCTGAATGAAGACGGTTTCAGATTCTTTCTATGCTCATACAAATAGTTGCTATAGATGTTTGCAGAGGGGTTGGAGTTTTTTCAGGGGTGGCGGTTAGTTTGCCGATGTAAGGAAATATGACTTCATATGGTTTCTGATGTGTCAGAGATATCAACCTTCGGTCTTGTATGAGCTTTAAACAAACGCTTTAAACAAGAGTCTGTCTATCAATAACCATGTATTTTTTTTAGTTTCAACACATAAATTTTTTTTATTATAAAATTAAGATCCAACAGCCTCCATCCTCCTTCTACCTCAATCCTCCTTCTACCTCTAGTATTATTCTACCTCCAGATAATCACAAGATTACAGATCCACAAATCACAAGAAACAATTTTTTTCTATGAAAGAACAAATCACAAATCGCAGCATATGAACGGGGCAAGTGGAGTACTGACGACCATCCGGACAAGTCCAGGTGCTGCAGTTCCCTGGGCAGCGAAACCATGGGCAGTGCTTCAGCCTGTTCGTTTGGCTGGACTTGTTCGTTGTTGGTTCGTGAAAAAGTACTGCTGGTTGGTTTAGTGTGAGAAAAAAATAATGTTCCGACTGAAAATTTATGATCGTTTATAACAAACACAAGCCAACCGAACATGCTGCTTGTAGCCTGGACAAGCCCGACAGGTCCAAGTGCCGCAGCTCTGTCAAGTACCGGAAGGACGTGGGCAGATCTTCCAGCCTCAAGCAGCGTGACAAGTCACAAGAAACAGGATGGCGTGGCGGACCTGAGGGGCAGGCTCGCAGGAGCCGGTGATCACCGGTGAAAAAAGAGATTAGAAAAAATCCATATGTTTTTTTTCTAAAAATACATGTGTGTTGTATAACATTTCTGTAAAACAAACGATCTTTCACGTCGTTATATCATGTAATCTGCTGGGGCCTTCCGTTCCCTTTTCGTTTGAAAAGGATGGAAGAAGCAGTGGACTTCATCACGCGAAGATTTCCTGATTCTGTTTTTCTTTCGTTCTTTTCGCTCAAGTCTGGTTGCTTAGTTTGTTAGGGTGCTTGCTACCTTCATAGTTAAGTCGGTGCTATGCACGGTTTTTCTTTTGTTCTCATGTTATAAGCTGGTATCCAATAGCTCTGTATCTTGTTGCTCCATAAAAGCAGGGTTTACCTCCCTAAAAAAAAGTACACGTCCGTTAGATGTCAGATGAGCGCTTAGCAGGGTTTACCTCCCTAAAAAAAAGTACATGTCCGTTAGATGTCAGATGAGCGCTTAGAATTGAGTATACCAGAAAGCGGGATCTGAATGTGTTGGACCTGTTCGGTTGGTTTCAGCAATAGCCCAAATGGCTACCTTTAAATTCCATCGTACCACAAAATGGTACAACATCGTTGTACTAAGGATTTTTGGTCTTGATGGAGTAAGGGAACGACTCAGCAACTGTCATGATGCAAAGGAGGCAGTGAAACTGATTCTGCTGCTCAAAGGGGATGGGGATGCACAACTAAAAACGTTGTTCCTCATCAACAATTGGTGGCATAAAAGAAACTCTATCAGGGAAGGAGGACAGCGAAGACCACCACAAGTTTGAGCTAGAGACAATCAATGGAGATCGAAGAACTAGACCTTTCTATCCTGAGAGAAATTTCAGTATTTGGGACTGAGTTCGCTTGCCTCACTGAATATAGGACTCAATTTGTGTGCCTTTCAGAATATAGGACTCAACCTGCGAATTGATTCATTTCATGGGATTATCTCTATTTTCTATCATTTCTCAATTTCCCTTCTCATTTCTTATTCCCCAGCCACAAAAACTTCCAACTTTGCCCCTCCCCCTTATCTCTTTATCTATTATAGATCTGGGGACTGAATCCATAAACGTGGACTATTCTTCTCCTTCTCCTACCCGTCTCTTCCCCAACACCGCCGCTAGGGTTTAGAGGAAGTTGATGTGGGCACCCAGGACAATCTGAGCGGACACTAGGATCTCTCTGAGATCCCTCCTGGGTAAGTTAGTCCCCAATCTTTCTCTAATCCCTCTCCTCTTCATTTCGATTTTGGGGAAAAACCATGTGTAGATTCGATTTTGGGAGAAAGCATATGTATGAACGATTAGGTTGAAATCTAACTGATACATGTACTTTTTTTGTACACGGTAGGATCGATCCGGATGCCGCCTTTAGGTTGTCTGTTCAGATCTCACAGTTCTCAACAAAGTTGGATGATGGCAGTTCAGTTGAGGTGCAACGCAAGTGTTTTGAATGGGTTGTAGACTATCATTGCTATACCATAGAAAAGACGAGCAGCAGTGCCCTCAGCATGGAACCCTCAAGCCGAATGTCGATGGGGCGTTCAAAGAGTCTGATGCAAGCGGAGGATGGGGTACGTGAGGCAAAGTTGTTTTTGCCCTCAAGGGCATATGCATGCGCCGTTGATGCACATGGGGATGTGTGTCTTTCCTGCTGCACATGTATCCCTATGTACATTCGATAGTGATGCACATAGGAGCATATGCTCTTGAGGACAAATTCTCTGCATCCAACTACATGATTAGATATGACATTAGAGGGGTGAAAGCCCTAGTTTGGTTTTAGATAATTGATAAAACTTATGGACTAATCCTAAGTGCTAAGTGTGTAGACAAGAGAGGATGTCCATTCCAAGTGGTGGAGCAACAGAATGATCATGGTGGATGGTGATGACCAAAAGATGACCAAGTGCTCAACTTGGAAAAGAAGAAAGAGAAAAACAAAAATGGGCTCAAGGCAAAGGTATAATGATAGGAGCCATTTTTGGTTTGCACTCAAGACACCATAGAGGGTGTGAGTGATTTATGATCGATAGCCGTACTATAAAGAGGGAAAATCTTTGGCTAAACGGTTTATCGAGTGCCACTAGGTGACATGATTCAAGCATTACATTTAAGAACCTAGTGTACTAACTTTGACCCTTGTAAAATGCTAACACACGAGCACACAAGTTCTACACTTTGTGGTTAGTAAGTTAGAAGCAAGGGCAAAGCGGTTGAGGAGATAGAAAAAGAAAATGCGGTGTCGGTCCCTGACTGGATGCTGCACCGGACGCGGGACCTGACCCTAGGCAGCGTCCGGTCACACGCAGCAGAGAGAGCGTGGCTCACATTCATGATCGGACGCTGGTGAGTTCACGTGACCAGACGCGCAAGGCGCGCGTCAGGTCGAGCGTGATGTACGCTGATGTCGACTCCGCGAGCGAGCTCAGTGAGATCGGATGCACCGGCGCGTTCGATCACTCCTGACCTAACGTGTCCGGTCACCATTTTTCGGCTCTGGAACCTTTCTGTTGTTGACCGGACTCGGAGCGGCGCCGAGTCAGGTCGGTTCGAGGGTCGCATCCGGTCATCACTTAACAGCACAAGCGTAGGGACTTGACCGTTGAGATCTAACACATGAGGTTTGAAGCTCAGCCACGTGGCGGCCATCCGAGGACCGGACGCAGGTGACCGGACGCTGGGGTGCATCCGGTTAGCCGAGTTTGGTCAAGCCCCGAGCAGAGCAACGACTCTATTTCTTTGGGGGCTCTATAAATAGTTGGGGATCGGCTCCAAGGTGTCTCTCTTGGCCATTTGACTTCTCTGACATCCTTGTAAGCTGAGCATACTCCCTCCCACTCTTCTCTCTTGCTTGATTGCTAATCCACAGTGAGATTGAGTGATTTTCAAGTGCATTTGCTTGAGTGGTTGCATCTAGTGATACTTGGGGATCGTTGTGGCTGCGGATTTCTTGTTTCTCTTGGTGGTTGCCACCACCTAGATGGCTTGAGCAGCGGAGGAGCTTTGTCACGTGTTGATGATTGTTCGTGGCCGGCTCCGGTGATTGTGAGGGGTCTTGCACCTTTCCCGGCGAAGCGCCACAAGTTAGCTCTAGTAAATTGCTCGTGTCATTGAGTTACCTCACTTGTGGTTAGGTTCTTGCAGTCTCCAATTATGTGGACGAGGTTCGTGCAACACCTCTTAGCCGCCGAACCATCAAGTGTTGATTGATACAATGGGGACTAGCGTGCCGGCATGCACGTGAACCTCGGGAGAAAAAATCGTCTCTTGTGTGATTGGATTGTCTACTTCTTGTGATTGGTTTATCCCTCAACGCGGCGGTATAATCATCTTGCTCACTCCATTACTTTCCCGCAAACTAATTGTAGTAAGCTCTTTAGTGTAGCTAGAATTGAGAGCTTGCTTTGTAGCTTAAGTTCATTTAGTAGAGCTCTTTAGTGTAGCAAGTTTGAGAGCTCTTAGTGAGTAGCAACATAGTTTCTTGTGTACCTAATAATCATAGCAACTAGAATTATTGGATAGGTGACTTGCAACCCTTATAGAGTTAGAGTAAGTTTTTATTTCGCTATTTGTCATACTAATCAAATTGTTTTAGTTGGTTTGTAGCTTTTTAATAGGCTATTTACTCTCCCTCTAACCATATTAGGATCTTTCGAGGGGTTATCCAGTCAGGCTTAGGACATTTGAATTTTTCCTGCAACTCGATGCATATAGAGTTGGTGGCGTGCATAGAATGGGTTAATGGTGCCGTACAGATGGGCATCAACAACATCGTGCTAGAGAAGGACGCAGAACAAGTGGTATGGGCTTTGCAAGGAGACGACTTCAGAC